TTGCGACTCCAGAATCAGCCGTCGTTACAAGATTTGTAACGCAATTCCCATGCAAGGAGGCAGAATTCGTCAACGCATTTACAAGAACGTGGGAGTACAAGCTAGCGTGGATATTCCCTCCTCCACCCCTAATACCAAGAGTTCTCCAACACCTCAACTATTGTCAGGGAGTTTTCATAATGATAGTCCCCAGGTGGGAAAGGGTGTTCTGGCGGCCCCTGCTGAAGAGACGTGCCATCGACCACCCGTTCACCATTCGGAATCTGAAGGCTCACCTGGAAGATCTTCAAACCAACCAGCCTCCTCCAAAGGTAATGGATTTACACCTGGAGGCATGGAAGATACGGGGTGGTCCGATATAGCGAATCACTGGTCAAAGGATGAAAGGAGAATCTTAGAAACATCCTGGCGCAAGTCAACTCTCAAAACGTATGCCGTTGCATGGAAAAGTTGGCAATCGTGGGCGAAGAAAAGAAGAGTTTCAGTTAAAAATCCAAACCCCACGCAGGTGGCTCAATACCTCTGCTTCCTACACAACACAAGAAAATTGGCGCTTAGAACGATCCTATTACATAAATCCACCATTGCGACATTCTCCAATCCACTACATAGTGAAGGAGTTTCCAGTAGCCCAACAGTGAAACAGGTAATTAGAGGTATTGCAAATGCAAATCCTCCAGCAACTAGGCCAAAGATTTGGAACATCGATAAACTTCTATCTTGGATTAATGATAACCATCCAGATACGAATAGTATCTTTCAAGTGGCCCGGCATCTATCGCTGCTTTTGCTGCTATCATCGGGAAGGAGAGTCCATGACTTGACACTCCTTCGAATAGATTCTGGTTTCTTTGAACAAACCGAAGAATACATAATTTTCTGGCCACAACATGGATCTAAGACAGACAAGCATAACTACGTCCAGTCAGGCTGGAAACTCCTCAAAAATCGAGAATGCATCTGGGATCTAGTACACTGGACAACCATATATCTAGAAATATCAGAAAAGAGAAGGAACCTCCACTGTCGACCGATTCCTCAACTATTCGTCACAACTCGTGGGAAGATAGGACCGGCATCTCGGTCAGTGATAGCAGGATGGGTCCGCACAGCGTTGAAATCGGCAGGTATAGAAGGAGGAGCCGGCAGTACCCGCTCGGCAGTGGCAACATCCCGCTTCAATGATAACATGCCATTGGATGAGGTTTTGCAGAAAGGAAATTGGCAGGGATCAAGCAATTTCTTCAAACACTACTATAAAAATATCGATAAGGATTTGGTACCTGACAACAGCAACAGAAGACTTATTTCGGATAAATTTGTCCCTATATAAGTATTATCATGGCTGTGAGCCAAGAATGACTGTTACTTTTCTTTTTATGAACTGTTAGAGTTATCATATTCTGTTTATGGTCTTCATACTAAAACCATGTCACAGTACGCTTTCTAACACCGTGGCGCGCCGGCAGATTGTAAACACTTCTCAACGGTCAGGCCGTAGGCACAGAGCCGAAATAGAACAATTTTCCCCCTGAAGGGAAGAAAATTGATATTTCGGGTCTTGCCATAGGCCTGACCTAGGTAACGCCTTGCCGGCGCAAGAGTACTGAAGGGCGAGCGGGGAATCGCTCGCCACTAGCCAGCGCGCGCATCGCTCCAAGGAGCATGGGCGTACAGAAAGGGGAGGAGGACGAAGGTAAGGGGGACTAGAGACGCACACATACTGACTCCGGAGCTGTAGATAGGGAACGTAATCTCAACGGTCAGGCCTATGGCAAGACCCGAAATATCAATTTTCTTCCCTTCAGGGGGAAAATTGTTCTATTTAGTGTGCAGAAAATCCTCCTTGAGAGCAAGAGAATACTACAGTGAATTATATTCCGCTCGCATTCAACCGTATGAACGATATTTTCTGAGACTTTATCGAAATTTTAGGGGCAACGAAAATGTTTTTGCCAAAACAAGGGCAAAAAAAGAATTCATAATAAGCGAGGCCACGGAAATTGCAGTTATTGGATATTTTGAAGCTTATCGTGAGAATTCAATAGCAGATATTCTCAAGGACTCTAATTTCAGTTATGGTACTGTTCAAAGGATTTTAAAAAAATACAAATTTATTCCGTATAAGTACCGACCAGTTCAAACGCTTTTGGCAGGGGATCCAGAGAGAAGACTTGTTTTTTGCCATTGGTATCTTAGCTTCTGTCGCCAAAATGTAAATAACTTTCGTTACCTTTTATGGACAGATGAATCAAATTTTTCAAATTCTGGAATGTTTAATAGAAAAAACCACCATTATTGGTCAAGAGAAAATCTTTTGTTAGTACATCCAAGAGGCCCACAAGTCCGTTTCAGTTTCAACGTTTGGTGCGGTATAATTGGTTCAAAAATTGTTGGCCCGTTCTTTTATGAGGGAACCCTAACTGGTGAAAGATATGTGGAATTTATGTCAGAAATTCTGACTAATTTCTTAGACGAATTGGATCTTATAAGTAGACATCATCTGCATTTTCAGCAAGATGGCGCACCTGCCCACAACTCCAGAGGTACTTATCATTTTCTAAGTACTACCTTTAATGATCAGTGGATAGGAACAAATGGCCCAATACAGTGGCCTCCCAGATCACCAGATCTAAACCCACTTGATTACTTCTTGTGGGGTTACTTCAAGAACCAAATTTACAAGCGAAGGTACGATAACCTTGACGCGTTAAAGACTGCAGTTAGGGAAAAGATAACCCAGATAGATGGTAGGACCATACTTAAGACAGTTCGAGCAGTTGAAAAACGTGCCCAAAAATGTATTGAAGAACAAGGTGGTGTTTTCGAGCATCTTCTTTAAAAAAAATTGTTATTGTATTTTGTAAGATTATAAGTTGATGTTGAAAATAAAGTTTGTCGATACAATTTAATTGTTTCAGATTGGAGGCCATAACTTCAACAACTTGTAACCTAGGAGAAAAGTTATTGTAAGGTTTTTTGTTTAAAATTTGATGCTTTAACAGAAAAAAATATAATATACAGGGGTTTCCATTTAAAAAAATGTTATTTTACTGAAAAAAATCAAAATAACGACTCTCAATTGTTTTTTTTTTATTTCTCATTTTTACCAGCGTTAAAAATGCTACTAGTTTGCTAATTCAAACAACTTTGTATTTTCACTAATAACAAAGTTACTAATGGTGGACACTTAATTTGGATAACCCTGTATAATCTGCAACTTATTCATATTAATGAGTCAGTGCCTTAATAAAGTTGATAAATTGAATATAATCTATTTGTGTTAATGTCCACATTTTTCAACCATCTATGACTACTAAAACTTTGGATAACTTCACAGGCAACAGAAAATAATGAGTATTTTTATATCTAAATGACTATGACTGTGACAGTTAAAGGTTAATAGATCATCAAATTGATAATGTGATCTCACAAGAAGTAATGAACAAAAAAGATAAATAATGTTTCCTTCTGAATTCCAACAAACCTCCAGAATTAGACACATATTTTGTAATGCTTGACCAGATTTTAGTTTCCTAGTAGTAATATTTATATTTGGCTGAATATGCAGTATTTGGGATATCAATGTTTCACCCAAAAAATGTTAAGTAAATTGGCAAATTAAAGAAATGAACCATCCAAATAGTTTAAAATATCATGGTTTATTTGAAACATTAACCTCTTAATGTGTAGCTGGTATAATAATATATACATATATACTTTTTGTATTGTGAGATATACATTATAACTTATTTTCATGAAAAGAGGCTAAATTTATATACATATTTAAAAAAAAACATGTTTTTATTGGTTCCTAAAAATTGTGTCATCTGCACCTAACTCAATTCGAATTGCACATTTTATTGTAAATGTGAAAAATTTGCAATGGGAACTTGATCAATGCATAGGAAATCAAGAAATGCTAGTTTGAAACTACCTTGTTTTGGCCTACTGAAACCAGGAATGTGTCAGTTACTCTCACAGTATCAGCAGATACTTACCCTTTTGCTAGTGGTCCAGTATTTACCCTGTATTTACCTTAGTGAATTTCAATGGTACATTACTGCAACTATGTAATAAACAATCATTCTTGCATCCAAAAGTCATGAATCAATCACATACAATAATATAATAATGTATCATATTTTTTTTTCAGGTCATGTATGTTTTTGTCACTAATGCCTTCAGTTCTCATGCCAATTTTTTTTCTACTCTTCTGTTACTACAATTCTCTTATTTCAAGACTGATGGAACTGAAGACTTGTTATTCTCAATAAAGAAGTATTGAATTGATTTAGCTAATTGTGTTTATATCATGCTTAAATTATCTTTTTCATAGTTTAAATGCCACCCCCATAACCACATTTTCCCCTAGTACCTATAAAAGCTGTATAAATCAAAATATTATCTGACCCTACCAAATATGTATCACATAATTATCCTGTAGTCATGTGACATAATGAATATGAAAACAAAATAGGCTATTTTCCTTAGTTGACAGTGAAAACTCAAATACCATATATTTACCCACATATATGTAAATTGCAAGAAAATGCAACTTAACTCAGAAATTGGTGAATCAGGTTCATAGAGCAAATGCTTTACATAATTATAACAAATTAATTAAGTCAGTGTTTCACACAAAAACTAATGGGTGGGTAAATTGTATAATAAACTTTGTAACTAATCACACCTACCGCAAGTGGGAATTCGAATTTAAAGTATTATCATTTCAAGAAAAATATGTTCAAGATTTTTAATCAATATAACGTGGTTTCAAGCACTTAATGGTGTTTTAAAACCATTATTGCCTTTTCCTATATTTACAACAAATCAATGGAATATGGAATACTGCAGATGTAATCAAAAACTGATTCCAAGATTATAGGAATTCCAGTTCGTAACAGTAAGCGGGATACTGGTAGAAGTGATTTGATTTGGAAGTATAACAGAGATTCTCACGAGTTTTGTGATGAAAATAAAGTAAAAGAAGCACTTACGATAACCTTCTTTTGGCGTCCATATTGAGCTGCCTTTTTTCACTGTAATGCACATACAATGTTCGAATTTAATACTATACTAACACATAATGTCTAAAACCGAAAAAAACTGCTCATATTTTCAGTTATCTTAGATTTTAGTAAAATGTCAATATAGGTATGTTACCAATAGAAAACGTTCAATGAACAAATTATAAGGCAACGACGTAAGAAATGACAGTTCTGTCAAACGAAAGGCGGAAAGGTGACGTTCGATTGCGATGTCAAATACGAAAAGTTAAAGGTCCCTAACTTAAACCGGTCCCACACGATGTGACGAATGCCTTACAGGTTTGGACCAGTAGCGGCGAAAAACGTTATTTACTTGTTTACTGTGATTGTGGTGAAGTAGTGGCATGTGGGAAGTATTTTGATTTGAATACCTACCTATTCATAATAAAGAATGTTCCGTAACTAACTTTTGAGGATAATAAATTAAATTAGTATACATAACAACACTTTTTTTCATATTTCCGATATCTTGTACGTGTCGCAGATGAGTTATGGCTGGCCTAAGGATATGTATTTTAGTAAATTATTAATTATCAAATGCTTACGCCCTTTTCACAAGCGTGATATTTTCACATGAGGTAGGTTTCGTCCGGCGCGCGACTGTTCAGTTGAGGCTAGCTATTTGAAATGGACACAGCGCGGAACAAGAAAGTACTAGCCATGTACTTGATATGGAGACGGCGAATAATAAGAAGAAATAGGCAGATTTGGATTCACCCATTGCTGCAAAATCGACATAGTACTTCTAGGTCCTTCAAAGTTTTGTGCAACTCATTGCGGAACAGTGAGAAATGATTCTTTTCATCCTTTCGTATGTTAGTCAAATCATTTGATGAACGTTATGATGTTCATATGGAAATTTCGTCTTCAAATTGATCAAGGATTCGATGGTTAAAGTTGGTCTACATACTTTATTAACACCCTGTATATTTATTATAATTTTTTCTAATTGAGCAATTTGTAAACTCTCAAAACTGTAGGGTTCACTTGAAGGAACGGCCTTACGAGAATTTGAGCCACCGGTTCCGCTGGCCATGGACATTTCAACAAGACTAGACGCCGTTTCACACAACGAGAATGAACCGTACGGTGCGCGCAGGTAATTGTGTGAAAAGACTCATCCAGTCGTATCATTATAATGTCCTGTAGCAATGCAAGACTAGTTGAGATATACATTGACTTGCTAACGAAAATGATTAAATTAATGATAACTCTGAAAGTACTATCGGGATTTTGATAAAATTTGGACTCTAGGTTACTACTATGAAAATGACGGAAAAGCTCTGCAGTTTTTAAAAATCGGTAGAGTGGCGGCGGTGTTATCGTCGAAAAACAAATAAAAAACGATCAAACTGCGTTTTTTGACATTTCTGAGGCTTCTGACAGACTTAAGTTTTGGTCGCTGAAGACAGATCTGAAATTATTTTTCGGCACTCGAAAAAATTATTTCATCGTCCATTTTGTATAATTTTTCCTTCAGTTGTAAAGGTTCAAGCGCGACACTGACACCGATAATAGACGTTCGCGCCACCATGCGTCGAACGTCCGAGACTAAAATGTTCATCCCATCGTGTAGGATACACACTTGAAGTGATGGGCGTTTACGCGTATACATTAATTGTCTACGTATCGATGTAGTGTCTGCAAAAAAAAGTTGTCCAATACCGCAATATCTCGATTGAAATCATACAACTATTTTGTTAAAATTTAGGTAAGAAATGTTCCTAACTTATTTAAAACTGTATCTTTGTATACGTATATAAATGAATATAATATATCTATACCCTTTCTCATTATTTATAACCTGCTTTTCACAGTCAAACCATTAATGCAATGTTGCAGAATTTGTAACGATCTTGAACTTTCAGTTCCACCTAAATCATTAGGATCGATCCGGAATTGATCCTAAACAGACTTGACAGAAATGTGTATATGTTCGTAAAAAACAAGGCATTGCAGCAAGCCAGCAAGTTACAGTGGTGTTCTGTGGCCTTCATCACTGTTGTGGCAGGCAACGTGGTGTGTGGTGCACTCTTTCTACACAAGTGGTGCCCGCTTCTTCCCCTCTTTCTCTTCCTCCTAGAGGTGGAAATCTAAAAGGGAAAGGGACTTTCGCCAGAACTGTATGCAAGTAGTTGAACTATAATTTGCTATTGTATACATTGTATATGTATATCGAGATGTATATATTTACCATTGTATACGCGTATACAATGGTGTATTATACAATGCGTCCATCACTGCACACTTGCCAATTATGGGGTGTCGAGCGTTATATACAATGCTGGAAGCATCGTGTGGGGCCCGCATTACGCATTTTTTAATCTATTGTGCCATCTGTGGGCGTATAGCAGAAGCGTTGCCTCACTCACCCATAGTAAATTTATGACGATTCGTTAAGATTATGTACGGTTGTCACAGATGACACTGATGCTCCTAAGGAAAAGCAAGAGTGGGTAAAATAAAACAAATTTAGATTAATGGTGGATTAATGTGGTTATCGATGCTCACTATAGAAGATTCGACTGAAAATGTAATGACACTCTATGGTGACACAGCTAGACATTATTCGCACACAGCACAGCAGTTGAGAGGGGAGATGTGATATTTCGCTAAAACTGCTCCCACACGATGTGGCGAATGCCTTACAACGTTGGACACATGGCAAGTCTGAGCAATATGTTAGATATACAGATTGCACTTAAAAAGTGATTTATATTCTGTTTGTGGCTCAATAGTAATTTGAAAAGTGTGTAAAATTTGGCTCATTTTGTTCGGGGTTGGTGTTGCAGTCTAATCATATTAGATGAAAAGTCTGGTTTTATTGCTGAAAGTTATTCAAAACATGGACGCATAAAATGGATACCCCAGTTTTGTGTGGGAAAACTTTTTATTTGACAACAAATAATGAGATGTGTTTTTCGGGATTCAATTGAAAGTGTTGACAGAAACGAAAAAACTATCCATATAAGATTTTTAGGTATTTATGAGACCTACAAAATGAGACCACACGTAAAAAGATCCGACTAGGTAATAGCCAAAAAGTTATGACCGAAAACCGAGGCAAACCAGGTTTTGGCACTTGTTGGTAATGCGACGATGGTTTCTTGCAGATATTTAAGATTCTTCAAATTCGTAGGATTCATACTTCTAAATAACCACAACTTTGCTATTGTTATTTAGAAGTATGAATCCTACGGATTTGAAGAATTTCAACTAGTTGCGTGAAATTATCGTCGCATTATCAAGTGCCAAAACCTGCATTTTGCCTCGTTTTTCGGCCATAACATTTTTGCTATTAGTCGGATCTTTTTACCTGTGGTCTCATTTTGTAAGTCTCATAAACACCTAAAAATCTTATATGGCATGTTTTTTCGTTACTTTCGATTGAATCCCAAAAAACACGTTTTCTCATTCTTTGTTGTCAAATAAAAAGCTTTCCCACAAAAATTGGTGTACCCAATTTATGCGTCCATGTTTAAAATACAACCTTGAACAACTTGCACAAATAAAACCGGACTTTACAATTATTTCGGGAAAATTTGCTAATATGTTTAGAGTAATGTTAGATGGACGCCTAAGTTGGAAATAGACATATTTATGGGATTTGTTTAGCGGTGCACCTGTGGCCTGTCCAGAAAAAGCGTCGATCGATGATCCCGTGTATGTTTCTATTTATGTTGCTATACTGAATCCGTTTAAATCACAGAGCTTCTGCACTACTCGTGAATATGTACAGCCCTGTATTCCTGTACTTGTTTCGTACAAACATACATTATCAAAATAATTACGATCTAACAGATATAGTTTTTTCCCAAGATTTCCAACATGTTTACATGCTTTCAACACCAAATCGAAAACTGAGGAAACAGCAAGTATGCCGTAAATCTAAGTTCGACAACGAAAGTCTGAAGGATAACTGGAAAACATCAATATTGAATTTCAAAAAATATTTAACTATACCTGTTGATATTTTCATCACCTGCTGATACAATAGAAGTGCTTGATTGTGTCAGTATTTGCAATAACTACTTGATTTGTTTAATGGGTAGTTCAGCTTAGTACACACTAGTAGACCCCGCGTAATTTGTCTATAGGCAGTCTGGAGACGGTCTCAAGACAAGATCTATAGATGGTCTATAAACATCCTTCCTTGACTCGTCTAGGCGTCCATACGATAATGAGAATTTTTCGATCTCATGTTCGTTTTTACCATCAAAGACATTGTTTTGTGTGAATGGACTGGGATATGTCTCGGGGTCCCTCAGAATGTTTTTTTTTTTCGGTTAACAGAGCAATGAAGTTTTTTATATTTTAATCTTTAATAGATATTATTTCACTAGTTAATTATGAATGACATGTACTTCTTTTGTTCTCATATAATAAAATATTGCCTTTCTGGGGATTACTGAGCATTTTCTTTTTTTTTTCAATCTGGCATTGACCAGATAGAACACAATGGATTAAAGGAGCAATAATAGGATAATTTATAAAAGTTCCATTGAGGTTCAAAAATTACCAGCCCCAAATATCGTTTGCGCCCCCCCCCCTCTAGACGAAGTCCTAAATCCGCCCTTGTACATCATACTCTGACATTGTCAATCCTTAGTTATTTAAAAAACAGAATTTCCTAGGTATTCCATGATCAGATAGTATTTGTTTCGCATACCAGATTTATCCCAAGATCACTTTAATTTCTTCTTGACTTTATTTGAGATGGGATTTCAAAATAAATTACATGTTGTCATTGTTACTTACTCTCATCTACAAGATGGCAGTCCAGTAGTCAATTCGACATTTCTGCTTTCGACTTCCATCACCAATTTTGTTTTTCATATGGTCGCTATATTGGAATTTTGTACATTTAAATAGACTTAGTTGGACATGAATTTATTGTTGGAGGAAAAAAGGGATGGTGAAACCTGTACACAAAATTAAAATGTTATTGATGGTTATAATAATAATGATCATAAATAAACAGAGGTAAATCATAGCAGATGTTCATAATGTCCGTTATGTTGTGCACTGCTATGGATTTATTTCTCTTCTTCTCAGTCTTCCAAACTCTGTTGCTATGTTCAATTTATTTGAGGTCTGGACTTGTATACAAAAAAAATGAAATCTGATGATTTTAAGGCTTACCTAGGAACTTCTGTTCTTCTGAAATACCTACCTAAGATTTGACAATTTCAATGTATGAGATGTAAATTAAAAACTCTATTTATATGTGCAACAATCAAATATGGCGTCCATAAGAAGAAATAAAATTGATGCTGGAGAACAAGGGGCGAAACGACATATTGAAATTATAATTATGCCATCTTGTAGAGGAGAATATTGGCAATGTTAATGTGCAATTTATTTTGAAACCGCACTACAAATAACGTCAGGAAAAAGTTAAAACGATTTTGGGAAAATTCGGGTTTTTCCGCATCTCTCTCCGGAACTTCAAAACATTCTAAGCGGCATTTTGTTGATTACCTAAATTAGCAACTTTGCCCCGATTTGAGTATCTTGGTATGTCTATCAGTTTCCGAGATGCCAATAGTGAGGGTCGAATTTGAAGCACCGTGTATCTATACAACCGTTGTCATTTGATATAAGTTTATCTCGACTAAAGCGTCCCAATCCATATGTGATTATTTGATCAACATAATTATAAGCACGATAAGTTTACTCAGTTTCCAGTTTACATAAAAATACCAGCACTCACAAAGATAAGGTTATATCAATACACTGATGTTGCTCGGTTAGTTTGATACGATGTTAGTACGCAAAATACTTCAACTTGCAACATTCACTAAACAACCGTATGATTCGCATTATAATGGAATCATGGAACATGCTTTGCAAATCAATGCAAGCTGTCTGAAGGATGATATTTTATATACTTCAATAGAGCTTGTCATGGTCTCGGGCACGGCGAAATACTACTTGTTACCAAATTATACCATTCTCAATTAACGTGGAATACTCTAATTCTAATCAATGCCTGAAGATATCCAATTAAAATAGGCATTGGAGAGGCTAAAGAATGATTGAAGATCCTAAAGCTATCTATGAGACAGTAGCAGAATCAAAACCTAACTCTTTTTCAAGTAGATTTCTGAACTCATTTTTCTGTACTGCCACTCCCTCATAGATGGCGCCAGTATTTTTCAGATCCCTATGTGGACGCTAGAATACGCTATATTGGCTTTCTCGGGGTATACAATACGTTAATCGATAGTTATAATGCAACTTAATTGACTCGGCAACATGTTGCGGACTGTCAAAACGTCTGGCACATGCTGTAAAACAGGATATTTATCATCAGAAGTTCTGGGCACAAGACACTTAAATGTCAGCGGAGCAAGTTGCGGTACATGCTGGGCACATACACTGAAAACCAAATTTGTTTGACGGCTTGAGTTCAATGTGTACGAGAGGTCTATAAAGGTACTTTTTACACCAAGATAGAGCAATGTGTAGCATTTTCTTGGAAAAAACGGCAGACTTTTGCGTTCAGGAGGGGCGCCCCCCTTGCATCGCCCCCTCTAAATCCGCCCTATGATTATTGCCATAAACTTGTGCATTATGACTATAAAGTCTTATAGTTTGAACTTATTTGTCTTTCTTTGCTTTTAGTACTTACTGAGCCCTACCCCAAACATGAAAGTCCAATAAAGTTGAATCAGCATCAGCGCATGTCGCAGGCCATATTAGTTTCTGTTTCGATGCTTCTAAAAAAATTGTTGGACTGCGGATAGTCCGAGGAGTTTTTAAATGAACCTCGTATAGATACAAAATATTATACAATGTAATCTATTACATTACCTTATTCAGTCTCTACATGTTTTTAGCATTGAATAGGTTGTGCACCTCAAATGAATATTAACCGGTTTCTCTTGATTCTCATTTCTGCTTTTACAGCGGTATTTAGTGTAAGTACAATAACATAACTGTTGCAATATGAGAAAATGATAAGATTTGTTGAACCAGAAAGGATGTTTCGCTGAATATTCATGAATAACAAAATTATGATGAACAATGTTATTATTTATTCATGAAGTGATGGAAAATTTAGCTCAAAAGCGGGTGATATGCAAATATGATCTGATATTTTGTTTTTATATCATCATCAGCATTCGCATAATTATTAACCTATAGTTGTGACAGATGTATTACTATTATTAATGTAGGTATAACAACAAGGAAGCCAAACAAAATAGATGAATTTCATGTCAAACCATCATTCTACGCTGCAATAAGCTCTATATTTTTACGAAAAATATGGATTGGTCACAATTAATATGAGTTCATTCCACAATCCCTATAGGAAATTTGAGAAACCAACTTTTTATTATAAGATTGTTCCTCGATTTTTTTTCACATGCTTCTAGTATCCTTTTGTGTTTCTTTTTCAGGATTCTGATTCCTACGATGTCGCTGTGGTGGAAGTGCAGTTTCCATTCCATAACATCACTAATGAAAATGAAATGCTGAATCCTGTCGTCGAAGAATACATTAAGCTTATCAAAAGTGTCGATACAGTAAGTGTGCTGTTTTGATGAATTTTCTGTAATATCCGACAATATAATTTTATTTGTATCCTTTGCTAAAGCTCTGCCTACACCTTGGTTTGTCAACATGTTAATATATAGAATATTGTAAAAATATACACCTTCGTTTTTATATGTTGAATTCAAAAATTGAGCAATCGTGTTACATATTTTTGTTTTTAGTATCACAATTCCTAAAATTTAAATAACTTTCGTCTAACGTACCAACCATAGAGGGCGACGTTTTATCCCATTCTTAGACAGATAGATAGATAGATAATTTATTTGCCAGAATATGTGCATACCAAGAATCAAATTCCAAGAAATTGGTCTGACACATCTGCAAATAAATAAAATAATCCCGTAGAAGGGAAACCCTTGTACACGGGTAAAACATTTATAATTTGCCGCAATAAGAGCCTAAAATAATAAACAGTTGTTTCAAATGGACATATATAAAGTTACAAAATTTTAATAAACGGTGAAGTTTAAGCAAATTAGAGAATCAAATTAAGTAAACATTTTGGTTCAAGGCTATATTGGTAGAGTAACAAATTATGTCAAGATTTTGGTCTAGGACTCTATTGGTACTTTCTTGATGTCAATCATTTGTAAAATGTCATGCAGGGTAGTCTTGAGAACCATTTCTTTATTTTTGAATCGAAAAAGCCGTTTTGACCGTATTTGCATTATCTTTTGAGGTATCATATTGAAACAGCTATTCTTTTCTGGTTTGGAGACATCAATATAGCTTTTATTCCTGGTATTGTATTTATGTCTGACAATATTAATATTATACTGATTGAATGAAAAAAGGAACACAAATGAGGAAACATCAGTTTTTTTTATGAATCATATATTTTCTCATTAATAGTGATATTGTTTAGAAAGTAGTAGCACATTTAGATACGACATATTAGTGATTCATTACATTGGTGTATGTACAGTGTATGAAAGTGAAGAAATCGATCATTAATTCTAATGCAAATATCTTCCTCGTTATAGAATAGAATAGAATTCTATTTTTCTTTTATATTACAATGTTATAATATAAGACAAGTCAAAAAGAAGTAAACCACGGTAGCATTAACTCATTTTTACAAATACAGTATAAAAAGGCAGCTAACGCATAACAGGAACGAATATTACATCGACAAGTACTATAAAACACTTGAAATAAATTCCGAAAGCAACTGATATATGACTAATAAGGCTAATATATAAAAAAAATTCATTTATACTCTCCCGCTATTAGCATTATTTAAGAGTTTTCTCAAAAGCATACTCGTTCTGTCTTCTACAGTATTTACTTGCAATAAATGTAAGATTCTCATTTTATAATTATTGTGATAATTTTATGGCCTGAAGCTTTCTGAATTATGTCTGGCATATATGATCAACTCATATATATATATATAAATATATATATATAAATACAGGTAACAATCATTTCATTTAAATGCATGAAGGTATTCCTGCAAGTAGTTCTATTGTCCACTCCCGCTATAAGCCTTAAGACCCTTTTTTGCATCACAAATACTCTGTTTGCTTCATGACTGCCTCATCATGTTGCTATACCATAACGAATAGTTGACTGAAAATAGTACTAGTATATCAGTAATACGAACTATCAACACTGTCCTCGTCAGTTCGTTATACAGTATGATATCAGTGCCAGTTTTCTTCATAAGCTGTCTGTGTGAGTCGTCCATTTACAATTATGTGGGAGGTATAAACCTAAAAACTTTGTGGATATGCATTGCTTTATGAAACCATTAACAGCCCTGAGCAGGATACTGTGATCGTTATTACGATTGTAGGAAAAGAGGAGAAATAGGAACTTATCGTTACTGAGCACTAAACCGGTGGTGGAGAACTACTGATCCACGAGTTTGATGGTACTGCTGTAGATTTCTGATGTCAGACGAGTGGACAAGAATCGTAGTGTTGTCGACATATTTGTCGCATTCGAAGTCATTGACAAATATGATGTATAAGAGGGCCCGAGGATAGAACCTTGAGATACTCCAATTATGCTGCTAAGCGTTTGGGATATGACTTCATCTATTTCTACGTAATGAGACCTGTTAGGTACATAGCTCTGCAGCCATTTTAATGGTTATCCCCTAATACCTACATGTTAGAAGTCAACCAAGAATTTACATATTGCCTCATATGCAAAATAAGCTATTGAAGGAACAGTAGATGACGGACATCGCCTCTAATCCTAGAAAGAGTTGTGTTACCTGTCCCCGACCTACCTAAAAGGTCGATTGCTGCGCTGCTTGTTTCATCCATGCGTTGATTCGTTGGCCTGATAGACAGTGATGGGCGTTTACGCGTATACATTAATTGTTTACGTCTCGATGTATACAATGCGTATACAAAGAATACAATGTGTACATTGCGTATACAATGAATACAATGTATACAATGATGAAGACATAGTATTTAATAGCATAAGTGAGGTTACGTTTATTCGCAAACGTCAGAAAGTTAGTAAACAGTGCACCGACAACTTAAAAAAAATATGGTTGGACGCTTCAAGAAGAAAGAAATCGATGAACTAGGATTCATTTGTTGTTCTGAATTTATTTAAAACTGTATACGTATATAAATAAACATTATATATTTTTTCATTATTTAATAAAATTTGTATATATCCTGAACTTTCAGTTCAACCTAACATCGCAGAACCATTAAGACCCATCGACAGACATGTGTATTTGAGCGTAGAAAACAAGGCGTTGCAGCAAGTTACAGTTGTGTTCTGCGGCCTTCGTCACTGTTGTGCCAGGCAACGTGGTATGTGGCGCACTTTCTAGACAAGTGGTGCCCGCTTGGTCCCCTCTCTCTTCCTCGTACACATGGAAATCTCAAAGGGAAAGGGACGTTCGCCAGCACTATATGCAAGTAGTTGGAGTATGATTTGCTATTGTATACATTTTATATATTGTATACGTGAATAGCGAGACGTATATATTCACCATTGTATACGCGTATACATGGTGTATACAATGCGCCCATCACTGCTGATAGATAATAAGGTATGGTTAATCTCAAAAATATGTTTTATAAAGATACAATAAAGGAAGACAAAAAGTGAGTAATTCTATTTTACCTCACTCCATCGTTTTAGATTCATAAGATTTTGGAAAGTTACCAGCACATACGTTCCTCTGCTAAATACTCACTGCTGAGAAGCCACTTTGAAGGAGGGATAAGATGTAGCAAGTTTAGCAGTTCTTCCATTTCAAATACGTAGTTACTCAGTCAGTGCTCATGTGGTTTTGTTGGAGTTGTTATTGTGTGTCGGAGTTATATTAACCTGTTTATTTCTTCTAGAACCTAGATATCATCTTATTCCCAGAGTCAACCCTAGGGGCTCAACCAACAGCTGTACCACTTCCCTACACACATTTGCTCTGCAATTCGACAACACCACAATACAAAGAGTACCTAAAACAGCTATCATGTGCAGCGCTGGAGAAGAAAACTACTTTGGTGGTCAACCTGCTTGAGGTGGTTGATTGCAAGAATCCTCCGCCTGACGAGCATTGCACCAGACAGGGACGCAAGCTCGAGTCTGTCTATCACAACACCGATGTTGTTTTTGATCACAACGGATATGTCGCAGCAAGGTAAAGTTTGAATCACATGCAACAGAGTAATCTTGAATCAGAGAAACTTGAACTGAGAAAACCGTGATATGTTCCATATTCCAACTTGGCAAATACACGCTTGTTTGTCCTTTACTTCCCCATACATAAGGGAGGAAAATACTGTGCCCGAGATATAATAAAATAGAATTTCAAATCATAGGTTCTTTATGCTTTGCTATATCTACAACTCGTGAATCGATATCAATTATCTCCATTGGTCTGTATGTCGGGGTGCTGGCGTTATTTTACTCTCGTAATATCAGAAACGGCCGCACTCATTTGGATGAAATTTGGGGTGCAGCATGCTGTGGGGGTGACACGAGTGCTATACAATGATTAAACAACAAAACAGATTCAGATCGTTTCCAAGGTTTGTTGTGGTAATGATTTCAATCTTCAGGTTATAAAGTAGTCAAAAACATTATTATAAAGCTCAAACATTTTTGTTTCTCCAGTAAGGCTTATTTTCGACTTACATAAAAAATGATGCTTTAACAACATCTTTGTGTAAAAATTTTCTTCCTCTGAAGACAGTACCAAGTTTGGTAGTCATAGTTATCTCACAGGAGTCCTAGGATAATCAATCAATTTCAAAAAGCTTATTTCAGGTATTGCAGTTATAATCTGGAGGGCCAAGATACAAAACATACTATTACCTTCTAGTCATTCAATCTAAGGATTTAGTGCTTGAGAGCTCATAGTTTGCCGTGAAGCCTTAAAATTTGTATTGCGTATATCACTTAACTCATTTTTTGACATATCGGGGCCCCCGTATGGACAACTGATACGTCCCTCCTCTTTTGATTTTGTGATCTTTATTTGAGGCAAGCAGGGCTCTTGTAGTAAATTATTGCTTCTTTCAAGTCACTCCAAGAGCATGCAAGACTTGGTATGAGAGTATATAATAAAGCAACTTTCTGGATTTCAGAGCACTAACAGTTTTTGTTGTAAAAATCAGTTTAACATTCCAGGTATAGAAAATGGAATCTCTTTGGCGAAAGCTCTAAGAGCATAACACGGTCTCCTGAAGTTGTTACGTTCAAAACGAAGAGTAATGATACATTTGGTATAATTACTTGTTTCGACATTTTGTTCGATGTCCCTACTTTGAATCTCACCAAGGATCTACACGTGAAGAATGTTGTTTTTCCAAATCATTGGTTTTCTGAGCTACCATACTTAACAGGTAAGTTACTGCTTCTTGGTATTGATTTTATCAGAATCGTTAAGTACCAAAATAGAAAAGAATTAATACCGTATGGTAAATTATGCTACCCTCTTTCACCATAAATTTCTTGACTCCTGCTGATCCTGTTTGAGTCAGTTATTCGGGTGACTCTAAACACCGCAGCTACAACAGGAACAGTGGTGGACTCTGGTATCGCCGTGAAGTTTCGCAGGACGATTCAGACAATAGTGAAGGAAATGCATCAGCCTGTAAAAAAACGACCAGAAAAGGACCAGGACCTATAAGCAAGGTTTTCAGCCCTGAAAATAAATCAAATTTCAGATTGACCGCATCATTAAAATTTTTGTATTGAAATGTTTTAGTAGATATTTATATTAAACTATTCAATATGTTTATTTTAGTGCTTGATTGTTCTTTAACTGCTCAAAGTTCGTAATTTTGACACTGTCGTGCAAAATTGTTCGAGTATTTGACTTTTTTATTTTTATATGAGCGCATAATTGCAACACATTCTGCATCAAGTCTATAACAAAACACGATAAAACAGAAAACATAAAAAGAGTTGCTCATCTGGGCTCGGACCAAAAACGAGATCTGAAGTCTTATTATAGCTGTGTATTGATTTGTTACAACTTTATATGAAATGTTTATTTTTCTATATTTTATTATATATTGGTTGCAGAATGTATGCACTCATATAAAAATTCCTAATATTTGAAAGTGAAAGTATTTTGGAAAATAGAGCTTTTAGAGAACATAAAGTACTGAAATGAAATAAGAAGAAAAACATTACAGATGCGACAAATCTGATTTATTTTCAGGACCAAAGACCCGCTTATAGACCCGGATCCACTATTCCACTATTCTATATTGTGAGCATGATTGTTGAATCGAACCAGCATCTATGACTCTTAGGTTCTATGCAGGGTGTCTGCGAAAGGATTGGAAATCCTGAAACTGGCGATACTACATACTAGTCCAAAAGTTGATAGTTTGCGAGATACAGGGTGTCAAAGTTACAATTTTATTTTCTATTTCTCCTTATTGCGTGATAATTATTTCAGATTTTGGCATAAAACTTGGTATAGGCAGGTTTTCTAGCATGAGAAACAAGAATCCGTAATTTTTATGGCAAAACTAATAGAGGGCGCCACTTACAGCACTATTTCGGTAATTAACTTATCATAACTTGTTTGTGCTACCCTGTATACATCTGACCGAAAAATCTTATTTTCTCGTATTTACACAACAAAAAAGGTTTGCTTGTTAGAAGTGTCTAAAGCTAATAGTTTTCGAGATATTTTTTTAAACTCCAATGCATTATTTGTACCATGATGATTAAACATTTTTATAACATAATAATCAAGTTGTATTGGATAATATCTGAATAGCGTTGCTATGGTTTCTAATGTTTGCCATAATATTGCTTTAAACCTCATGAATAATTTTAAGTTGACAATAAGTTGTTAAACATCATGGAGTATACGTTTATATGTAGATACGGATTGGCAAGATACAATGCTTTAAAGGCACGAAGATTGTACGCTGACAGATTCCCTCATAGACACCTGCCTAATTCAAGGACTTTCCAACGAATCGATCAGCGGTTACGAGAAACTGGTAAGAAATGATTATAGCCTTATTTTGAGTAGTAAAAACCAGTTGGATTTTAGGTAGTTTTGCTTAAAATATGAGCCGACATAGTGGAACTCCCAGAACTGTACGTGCCGCTGAAGTTCAAGAAAATGTTTTAGATGCTGTCTTTGAAAATCTTACAGATGGGGTTAGGAATGTAGCTCGAGAATTTCAAGTTTCCAAATGTACAGTAAATACGATTTTTCAAGAGCAACTGTTCCATCCATACCACCTGCAAAAAGTACGCGCGGATGATCAGCCCGCAAGGGTAGAATTTTGTACATGGCTCTTAAGGAAGGTTAATCACGACAGTGGTTTTACTTCGTTAATATTATTTTCGGACGAAGCAGGATTTGAAAGGGATGGGTCCATTAAATCGCATAATCTCCACATTTATGCAGACGCAAATCCTCATGCAATAATACAATCCCGCCACCAAGTACAATTTCAAATTGATTTATGGGCAGGAACAATTGGACAATATTTAATAGGACCCGTTGAGTTACTACCTAGACTAAATGGCCAAAGGTATTTACAATTTCTTGAAGAACAAATACCCACTCTGCTGGAAGATATTCCATTATAAACACGCATGATTATTTGCACGACGGCGCTCCACCTCATTTTAGTATATTAGAGAGCAACTGAATAGAGGTTATCCAGACCAGTGCATAGGTCGATCAGGAGCTGTATCGTGGCCGGCTATTTCACCAGATTTAAAACCTATGGATTTCTCCTTCTGGAGTGATTTAAAACGACGCGTTTACTATACGCCAGTGGAAACTATAGATGATCTTCGGCAAATAATTTTCCATCATACCCAGGAAATGAAAAATAACATCCAAACGCTGCTCAGATAATATTCAAAGCAACTTGATTATTATGTTGAAAAATGTTTTATCATCATGGAACAAACAATGCATTGGAACTTTTAAAAACAAATATCTCGAAAACTATTAGCTAACAGGTGAACCTTTTTTGTTGTGGAAATACGAGAAAATCCGATTTTTCAGTCAGTTGTTGTGTACAGGGTAGCACAAAAAAGTTATGATAAGTTATTTACCGAAATAGTGCTGTAAGTGGGACGCTCTAGAAGTTTAGCGATAAAAAATAACGGATTCTTGTTTCTTTCTCATTCTAGAAAACCTCCCTGTACCAAGTTTTATGCCAAAATCTGAAATACTTCTCAAGCAATAAGGAAAAATAGAAAATAAAATTGTTACGTTGACACCCTGTATCTCGCAAACTATGACCTTTTGGACTAAGGTATGTTAAGGTCAACACACATGTTTTGGTCTGTAGTATCTCCAGTTTCGAGATTTACCAACCTTTCGCAGATACCCTGTATAAAGACATTTACATGGAACCATTGTACTAGGGTATCGATCACTACTATTGTTATAACCATTTGCCAAAAAAACTTGTCAATGCACTTTTTGTGTAATTTGGTGTAATTAATTAATAGAGACAAATATTTTTTCTGCAGCTTTGCAGACGCAGCACATGTGGGCTCAAGAGAATGACGTCGTGCTGTTAACTGCCGGAGCAAATACACCTCATGTCGGAAGCGGCGGTACTGGAATCTTTTTAGGTAGGTTCATTTCATTGTATATGTATAAAGTAAGTTAATTGACTCAATACGTCGATAGGTTAATCCCTTCAGCTGAGTGTCTGGGCCACCAGGTTTGACACAGAGAGAACAAACTTGACTGACGTTAACCATTATTAGTCAAAACGACAACTTACTATAAGTTGCAGTAGGCTAACAGATGCACGGATAATATGTAAGAATTAAATGTCAAGCTTATCCAGGAACCTTAATCTACTCGTACTAGACTTGTTTTAGTTTTTGTATAGTATAGGAAGGTGGGCGGAAAAAATAAATAGCAACATTTTCAAAATCTTGTTTGTGGCATATACACTTATCTGCAGTTACGTTATGTTTGAAAGTAAAAAAGTAAAAACCATTTACTGGACATTTAACTGTGAAATTGGTTGCCTATACGAAGCATTAGTCAACTAATAGTGTAAATTGTTAAGTAGAATTCTATATATGATCACTGGTAGACGTATGGGAACTTGAAAGATCATTATTTTTGCATAGTAGGCTAATATTTTTTCAATTTATTTACTGAAAAATCTTTCAAATGACCAAAAGACCAAAACTTATAAAATGATGATCCTTAAGTGGGGGAAGTGGATAGAAAAAAAGCGAACCTCTTCGGCTGTTTTTTACCAAAAATCAAATGTCACCGCGGTTTTCTTCACCTCGCTTTTCCTCAATGGATGTGCAACTTAAGTTAACCCTTGGATTTATGGAAGACGGTAGAACATCTGCAAAGCATTAGTGGTAGAAAACTTTCCGTATTTGATCCAAGTCAGTAAGATTCTACATGTAACTAAGGTTAGATACATGTCAGTCTAGCAAAGAGCAATTAGTTGTAAAAAAATCGAGCCAATTTTGAAAACTATATGGGTACATCCAAGAAAAAGTTTTTGAATAGGATCGCCTGGATCGGGTAGGTCATGGATAATACCTGTATTTGCACATTTTAGGTCACAAGGGAGCTCTAGATCAAGTAATAGTGCCAAGTCCAGGTGGGACTAAGTTACTATTACACAAAGTCCCGCGCATGACTAGTTCACAAGAACCTGCCATAGACAATGTCGCGTCAGACGAAGATATTGATGCGTTGGCTGCAAAAATGGATGATTTCAAATTGATTATCGATCCTACAGTATATGGTTAGTATATTTGTAAAATTTTTATACATTTTAGTTTTCATTTAAAAAGATACTAGTGGATCTTGTCTTAGTTGATCATTTACATTCACTCTCTCTTATTCTAAGAAACTGCAGCAGGGACACTAAGTATTATCTTTAATTCTTTAATTTGGACATAGCTTTCAGATGGAGTAAGACAATTAAACGATGACAATGGTGAAATCTTCAAAACTATAATCATGCAGTTGTACATCATAATTTCATATCAAGCTTAATAATTGGGTTATATGCTTTATAGACGCATTGTAAAATAATACAGTGTTTGAAGAGTACTACGCTTATTCCATGACATTATGAGGAATTATTTATTTTATGGTTGTGTGATTATTTGCTAGTACTCATAAACGTATGTGTCATTAATATCACTATCATATCATTCTATTTTTATTTATATGCTAGCATGATTCACTAATCATTCATGCTGCTTATACAGAAATTGTATATTTTATAATTCAGAAATAGTAAAATGAGGACAACTAATACACACATAAACATTATTAATTTGATCCGTTGGATAAAAAAGCATTCTAATCTGATTTTAAAAATAATTGTTTGAAATAGAAATCATGATTATAGTACTAATAATTGCTAATGGAAATATAGACTGCAAAAGAAGATTGAGAGACTAAGGAAAGAGATAGGTAGACTGACACAATATATACAAAACGGGTTATCACACAAAAAGATGAAAAGTATGGAAAATATAGGAAAGGGAAAATCGATAGACGATCTAGACGTAAAAGCACAAGCTCCAGGCGCTAGCAACACGACTTAGAAGATACACTAAAAGTAAGAATAGACGAAAGCAAAACCAGGCATTTTGCACAAATCAAAAGAGGTCCTATCAGGAATTAGAAGGGGTACACGTAGCTACGTGTAACAATACCTAGTATATCAAATATCGAACAATACTGGAGTAACATCTGGTCAGTACCAGTAGAGCACAACAGAAATGCGCAATGTATATAAAAAGAAACTAACCCCCACAGTAAACTATAGTCGAAATAAATATCACACAAAGATGTCTCTTATGCAATAAATCACACACGTGGTTAGAAAGCACTTGGAAAGGATAAGATAACAAACTTCTGGTTGAAAAAACTTACGGCAATACACTCTCATCTGGCTAATAACGTATGTACATAAACGATCTCCAAAAGTTTCCACATACACTTATAGAGGGAATAACATACTTGACGCCAAAAGGCATGGCAGATATTACCAATCCAGCAAAACATATATACCTACAATTTACAAAATTTTAACATCGATCATCCAATCCAAGATTACATCACATATAAGCAATTATAAAATATTGAGTGAAGAACATACAGCATGTTTTAAGGGCGGAAGAGGATGTAAAGAGTAACTAATAATAGTTGCTGAAATAGTGCATCAAGCTAAAATTAAATAGAGATTCCTGCGCTATTCATAATATTGACTATCAAAAAGCATTCATCACTTATGTTCAATACAGATACTAAAAATCTTCAAATTTGATGGAAAGTTGATACAGTTTATCAAAGCAATTATGGGAAACTGGAGTACCTCCCTCAATATCTGGACCAACTCTGGCAACATCAGTTCTCAGTCTATAAAAATTAGACGCGTAATATGGTATATCAAGGCATTGCTCTAAATCCGCTATCGGCCAAGCTAAATCAAACTAAATATGGATATAAGATAGCACGCGCACACCCATAAAAGATAAGTCATTTATTATATATATACTCAACCAATTACTTAAAATAATAATAATAATAATAATAATAATTTATTTGTCAAATTCAATTATGCAAATATAAATTTTCAAAGACTGTTGCCACAAAGGAGTATCAATGACAAATAAAAGTAAATAATAATAAAATGAAAATGAACTTTAAAATGCAAGAACAATAGTATTACAAAAGGAAAGCAAAGTAAACAAGGAGACTACAGACTAGAAGATCACTCCCGCAAAGCAGCAATGGAAAATATGGGTTATAGACAAAATATGGTAATGGAACATACAAAGATCAAAGAAGAGAAAGAGAAATACAAGCGAAGATTGACTAATATCCTCAAAACAGAACTAACCACCACGAATAAAGCTTGACGCTTGACAAACGCTTGACAAAGTCCGCGTGTCATTCTAACATATACCAGATACATATCTGAGAGCAAGCAAATAATAGTAATAATAATGGTAATAGTAATATTAATAATAATAATCGTCTTTATTCAAACTGTAGTTGCAAATAATGACGAAGTTAGCAACACGGAGCTTGCTCCAGTTTTTTCGCGTCTCTTCCAGATATCTTATGAATCCGGCACCTTCCCAGACAACTGGAAATTTGCTTATGTCCAACCCATCCCAAAAAAAGGATCTAAGACCGACCCTTACAACTACAGGCCTGTAACTCTGCTTTCTGTTATAAGTAAGGTGATGGTGAGGTGCATAAATCGCGAGCTTCTGGACTACCTCGAAAGTCACAGCTTGATTAGCGACAGGCAGTATGGTTTCCGGCACCAACGGTCCACAGGGGACCTCCTAGCTTGCGTCACGCAATTGTGGAGTAAAATCATCCAGTCGTATGGTGAGGCTCATGTCGTTGCTCTTGACATCACGAAAGCGTTCGATCAGCTCTGGCACGCTGCCCTCTTAAGCAAACTTCCATCCTTTGGCCCTCCAGAAAAGCTTTGCAGATAGGTGGCTGACTTTATCTCTAGCTGCAAGATATTCATCGGGTGTTCCCCAGGGATCGGTCTTGGCTCCGTCACTGTTTCTCCTACATATCAACGACCTCCTTTCCTGCACGATCAACCCAATCCACAGCTTCGCTGAAGACAGCACTCTACATGCTGGAATTCAGAGTGACAAGCCGATCTCTGCCGCTGAGCTGGAAAGAAGAAGACCAGCGATGACTTCCTCTCTGACAAGAGACCTGGAGGCTATCACCGCTTGGGGACGCAACAATCTTGAACAGTTCAATGCTTCCAAAACACAGTACTGTACTTTGACGAACAAAAAGCGTCCTAGCGCTCATCCGGGTTAGATGGATGTCCGAGTTCTGCCAAAGAGCCATTTCTTTCGGCTGGTCGGAGTCCAGATCACCGAGGACCTGATCTGGCACGAACACATCTCGTAAATAGCAGCAGCTGCTGGGAAAAAGCTAGGCCATTTGTTTAGGGCTAAGAAGTACTTTTCTCCGCATGACCTTCTCACTCTATACAAGGCCCAGATAAGGCCTATCCTCGAGTATTGCTCACACGTTTGGGGTGCTGCCGCCCTGACTACATTGTCCATGCTCAATGCTGTCCAGAGGAGGGCGGTCCGACTGATCGATGACTCTTCTCTAACAGACAGTTTAGGGACCCTTTCGCACCGGCGGGCCGTCGGCGATCTAGCTCTTTTCTACCGCTACACCAATGGGCTTGGTTCCTCAGAGCTCTCTTCCATGATGCCGCCGCGCGATGTGCCTGCCAGGCAGGCCCGCCTGAGTTTGGAATCCCATCCTAACCGTGTCGAACTTCGTACATCCGAACTGGCCGATACGACCGCTCCTTTGTCCCGAGGCTATCGAGATTGTGGAACAATCTACAAAAGGAAGCTTTTCCCAGTTCTACTAACCTTGGGCAGTTCAAAAATCGTATTAACAAAATTTCTTTGTGATCATCACAGCAGCCGCGGTGTTCCGGCATTTAGGCTTCTGCCTGCGTGGCTGCTTCGATATAAAAAAAACACGCTACTACATACCTTCAATCAGAATGCAGGAATCAGAATGCCGGGCTTCAGTTCTTTGTAATAGACTTTCGAATTCTTTCAAATAATCCAAAGTCATTTTTTATAAAATTACATTGAGGAACTTCGGTATAGTTGTTCATGAGGTTTTAACAGAAACATACGGAATTCGAGAAAAAAATTACCTAAAATCTGTTCGATGTCCAAATTCCCTGAATTAGTACATATAGGATAAATGTTAGAAGCATTTTAATGAAAAACGTCTTGGTGCATTTGAAAGTGGCAGTCTACCTAGAGAAGAATACTGTTTTTTTTTTCGAAAATTGTTAAAGGACAAAATAATCTTAGAATAGCTCCTTGAATGTTTGCTCATTCTAGGAAAACAATGTACATTTTTTTGCTTAAATATTTCTAGAACAAAACACCGTTCAGCTGAACACCAACAAAACGACTGTAGTAGAAGAGATATGCCATGGGAAGTCGGCAAAAACATGTTGCAGATTCACAGTAAACTTAACAACGAACAATACAGTGATCACACCTGGAAAGCAAGCCTATACCTACCACATGGGGGTGTTCAATGGAGTAAGATCATTCTCTGGAACAAGAGATGGAGGCATCGAAGCCTGTGCTATAATGGCCTGTCGTAACAATAATTCTAATTCATGTGGCCAAAGGTAAGACTTAGGTGGAATAGTTTTTTGAAACATGTGGACCATCTGTCAGATCGATATAGAATACAAAACCAACAAAAAGATGTTTGCAAATCTTATCTATGGTGGGATATATAGTGACCTATTTACATGAGTTCATAGCTCACAGACCAGGAAGTTAGTTAGGGGTTTCTAAGAATTTAAAAAACAATCCTATAAACATCGATATTCTTTTTCAGATTCTCCAATTATTCAGACATTGTCTGGCCAATAACATTCAACAGTATTGAGGTTGTAGGCAACTTCACCAACGGTGAACGAAAAATCCAGTATCCCAACTCTCTGCTAACATCATTACAATCCATTTCTCCAGAGAAGACTTTCTGGAAGAAAGAAATTAAAGGAGACACGGTACTTAGGACACACGCCTTGATGAAACCTCAGAGCCGAATTCTAACTTTCGGGATTTTCGGACGGGATTTCAGTAGAGATGGGCCACCGCTTAGCTACTCGAGTGCTAGTTTGAACAGAGTAGGATTATCAATCGCTATTGTCTTGATCTCAGTTGTAAAAGTATTCTAAATAGTATATGGTATTGTATGGTATGCATGTACCATATTTTGTGTACAACGGTTTTGCTTAGTTCTGTTTGAGTAATGATAATAAAGATATGAATGAAATGAATCTTACTCATTTTATATTTCCATAGTTTTTTATAGCTTGAAGATGGACATTAATGTTTGTAGAATCAAGGTGTGATGTTCACTACGAGGGATGTCTTTTAAGTTTTGCATATGGAAACATAGTAGGCCGCGCGGATCGAACGTCAGTACTGAATCTTAACCTCACTCTTTAGTAAACTTAAATTCAAAGTTTCACAACAATACGTCCAGTGTTCTCACTACAATGAATTTTTAAGTGTCACCAAGTCATTAGACAAATGGAACTCAACCGAGAACATTTTCGCGCCAAAATTTATTACAACTTTCATAAACAATTATCACAACAAGAATGCCTTGCTGAGTTACTGTCTGTTTTCGGCAACGAATCGCCACATCAGTCGACAATTTCCCGTTGGTATGGAGAATTCAAACGTGGACGGGTGAGTCTTAGCGACGATCCCAGGGTGGGTGCACCAAAAACGGCAGTCACCCAGGAAAACGTCGATGTTGTGCGCAAACTCATCATTGAAGATAGACATGTGACATATCGCGAGATTGAGGTGTCCTTGAAGATCTCAAAGACATCAATTCAAAAAAATTTACATGAATTAGGAGTAAGAAAATTAGTTTCTCGTTGGATACGCCACCTGTTGACTGAAGAGCAGAAAGCAGCCAGGGTTAATTGGTGTCAAAAAACGCTTGACCGTTTCAATTCCGGAAACTCAAAAAATGTGTACAGCATTGTTAGTGGTGATGAATCGTGGATTTACTGTTATGAACCAGAAAATAAACGACAGTCGGCTGTTTGGGTGTTCCAAGTTGAAGAAAAGCCAACAAAAGTCATCCGTTCTCGAAGTGTTTCGAAAAAGATGATTGCGACATTTGTGTCAAAAGCGGGTCATATTGCAACAATTCCTCTTAATGAGCAAAGAACTGTTACTGCGGATTGGTATACCACCATTTGTTTGCCAAAAGTCATCACCGAGCTTCGAAAAATCAACCCCGAAAGAGGAATCATCCTCCACCAAGACAATGCAAGCTCGCACACAGCCCAAAAAACAAGGCAGTATTTAACGGGAGAAAACGTGGAATTATTGGACCATCCTCCATATAGTCCCGATCTAAGTCCTAACGATTTCTTTACTTTCCCGAAAATTAAAAACAGACTGCGTGGTCAAAGGTTCCAGTCACCAGAAGAAGCAGTTGACGCATTTAAAAATGCAGTTTTGGATCTGCCAACAAACGAGAGGAATAAGTGCTTCGAAAATTGGTTCGAGCGCATGCAGATGTGTATTAATCTTCGTGGAGAATAGTTCGAAAAACAATAGTCATTTAAAACTACCTACCGTGTTGTTTTATTTCCATATGCAAAACTTAGACCAGAACAATCGACGAGGGAGAATGTATTGCAATCAAGAAGAAGTTCAAAGTTAGTCAAAATACTTTTTGAGAGATTGGGATATTAGAAAATATCCAGGATTGTCTTTAAGGCGTTTCCAACTTTCTGATCAATTTAAGGCGTAGGAAGAAGTATTTTGAATTCGCTCTGTAATAGGCAGGCATCGTTATATCGCTAAACCTGCTTAGAATTTTAGGTCTTACTGAAATCTCCAAAAAACTTAGCGTGTTTTCATATAGTTGATCAATTTTGGAGCAGTTGACAAAATAATTGAGAGGTTGGGAACTTACACCAACATATGTATATGAGCATAATTCGAAAATAACATTGACACGTGTAAAGGACTAAGTCAATCTAGTTCACACTATTTTTTTCATACTAGTGCATTTTCATGATCTGTTAACTTTTCCCGTTATTACTCAATTGATCTACTTACGTCCACATTTTTAAGTTCTCCTCTTGCATTGGAGAATTATCTGAATGCCCGTTTTCAGATTAACGACCATATACTGATTAAGAATTTAATCACACCGTGAATTCAAATAAGAAAAGAAAGTGACAGTGATACCGTATATAATTCTATCACAGTCAAGTATCAAGTTCAAAGACCGACTTTCATATTTAAACAATAATTACTTGCCTAAATAGGTAGTACAAAAATTATAGTGCAAGATATATGTACGAGTTTTGTTTGAAGGTACGTTGCTGGGTACATCATTATCAGTTCTTTTTGGCTGCTTGAAGATATGAAACGTTTCATCTAGACTCTAGACTAGAGAGATGTTTGGAAAATAAATGTGCCCCTGGGCCCCTACATAGCTTGAGACGGCATTGGTTGACACTGTAGGACGCAGTTGGCCTTTGGTAAGGGTAGTATAGTGAATGACCGCCCGAGTGGGACTGCGTCCAGAGCGGGAATGCACCCACACTAGTTTCAATAATTCTACAGTGAAGTAAATATAGGTATGCCATTGCTGATTATGCATAATTAACAGTAGATGTGGTAAGCTAGAAAGTTGGCGCGTGTAAAGCCTCACAGAGTGATCACTTGTATCAGTAGCACTAATGTGTTTAAAATATAAGACAAAAACTCGAGAAGTCTCGATTCAGACTACTCTGACAAGAAGGGGTCGTCACGACCGGAAAACGGGTCCCAGAAAAATCATGTAAGTAGATCTTGGCCCTTTAATTGGCCTCAACAGCATGTCGTCCAATGCGCTTCAGTTCACACAAAAATAATAATATGAAGCCATTGTGAGTTGAAATGAAAATACTGGATATTCAAAGCCCTGATAGGACATATCTACTTAATCGAAAATAATTTCAAAAATGAGATATTACGCCTTTTTGATGTTATAAGGCAGATACATCACGCAAAACCATATCAGTCATTTCCGCCAGTCTGTCTGTCCGTTAGTCCTGGACTCGGCTATAACTTGGAATGTGCCGCTGGGTTCATCGATGAAATTTCCACAAAAGTACTATTACGCAAAGGATAAAAAAGCTTTGTAATATTGAAAATTTGTCAGCGGCGAAAAATTAATCAAATTTCGTTTTTTTGACGTTTCAGAGGCTCCTACTTTCCGGAAGTTTTTCTTTAGAGGTTAAAAATTAGGGGCTGGGTGATGTATAAAGTGGGAAAGAGTGTATCTCAATTTTCTGGGGCTAGTATATTTGTCCGGTTACAACCCCAGTAATTTTACGCAAATCTTAGACATATTTCACACATCATAGTGCATTTGCTCTCAAAACAGAATTATAAGAGAAACATTCCTATCAATTACTTGAATGGGCATATTTGGCTGGCTTGATCGTTTAATTTCCCTGTAATATATATTCGTCGCTCAGAGGTGCTAACTTGTACCGAATATAATCCTTTACGAACTGAAGACAGCGTTGCCTGGAAAGTGCAGAGTCAACCTGCTTGATGTCCTTTTGTATCTAAATTGTACTGTATTTTGGTCCAGTTACTTAATTTCTCATATAAGTTACTTTTATATGTACTGATTGCTTTGGAATTATCAATTACTGAGTTGCTATGCAACTTCGGATGGTAATCATCATAAAAATATTCAGAACAAAGTTAGACACTATACATGAAGCAACTTGGTAGAATGATCATTTTTATTTTCAAAGGGTTAGCGATAAGCAACCTTAATTATATTTGAAAATATCGTTCACGTTTTGGTTAATCATGTTGAATAACAATAGCATCTAGAAGACATTGAATTACAGAATGCAGTGTCAGCAGGATATATGGTCCCATTTTAGACCAGAAGGCTTCATTGATTAGTAGTTTCTGCTGCAGAAGCTTGAGCCATATAGTGTTTGAGGCCTCCCACTTTCGTGGTTTACAAGCTAATTGCTGAACAGGATATATTATGTAGTAGATAATCATGGGCTGTCAATTTTCTATACTAGTTTCCAAAAAGGGTGTGCCCCAGGGTTCTATTCTGAGGACACTCTTATACATAATTTATGTAAACGATTTCCGTAGCAATTGGTATGTCATGTATGTTGATCTAACGAGACAGCTTTGTAGGTTACACTCAAAAATCAATTAGAACTGTCACGTGCCGCGAGAATGGAATTGAAACCAGCACATGAATGGTTCTTAAAAAATAGCTTGTTGCTGAACAATAAAAAATCTTTGTTTTTGCGATTCTATTTTTCATTGTCGCCCCGCACCAGGAGCTCAAACTTTCTTCAGGTACCAGCACATAGATCGTCAGCAACGGAGTCTTGCCCTTGTAAAATGCTACAGCAAGCTTCCGACATACTTTGAACGCCTCAACCATAATGAATATCAAAAAGCAGTTGAAAGATTCCAACTCAACAAAGCTTACTTAGTGTCAATGAATATCTCGCTGACAATACAATTTATGTAAGTTAATTTTTGTGTGTCGTCCCACTTTTTTGTCTATTAAGAAGTTTTGTTTTGATGCGATTCGTTTTTTTATACTGTTATCTATCTAGTTTAATTGTGTATGTAGTTAACATATATAAGTTATATCTTATATTTATCATTTTAGCGTTTTTTTGTCATATTGACATATTCTATTTCATCCGTTGATGATCCTGAAATAAAATTATTATTATTATTAGTATTATTATATTAAGATAAAAATGTCACGGTCAGTTGAATTATCTATTAATATATTTGATTTCAAGATATCAATTTTAAGTCCAAAGTAGTTGGCCATATTCAATTTTGTCTGCACAACGTTTACGTTGTCGATTACTCCTTAAAAATTTGTAATTTTTTCAATTTTTGGTGGAACAAATTGTGTATAATGATACATGTCTAAGTAAGAATACAAGAGCTTTCCTCCAGAAATCATTTGCCAAGTATCATCTGCCGGTTGATAGCTACCAGAAAACCATAACCTTATGTATTTAAAATATAATACAGGAATTGTAGCTCAGCAAATTAATTTTAAAGAGTATGTCTTGCTGCTCACTTTGATTTTAGTATCGCCGTTTCAAAAAATGTAAATAAGTTGTTATTTATTATTACAAACGCAAAAAATCCTAGCAGGTAGTAACACCATTTCGTGGTATGCACTGTGATAGCCATTTACTGTCTATAAAAAATCACTAACTTGTCACCAGCGAATTCGCTTGCGTAGGAAGTAAAACGCAAACCTCCTTGACGCCATTTCTCCTCTAATTAAGACAGTAGCTCTGATTAATCAACACATCAGCCAAATTAGGTAACGAAATTAACGGGTGTTGGCAAACATAAGGCCGTGTAAAAATTCTAGATACGCGACCGACCATATGGAGAGGCATGAATTCGATGCGTAACGCTTGAGTGAAAATGATACACTTCTGGAACGACATTAGAACTACTACTGCAAGTGCTGCTTTCGTTTACGACCATTTTTCCATACTGTGGCCAGTGTATGTGCTGTACGCACACATCCGCATGTGTTTTCACTTTTATTGTTTACGTAACATAGACAAACGATGTCTGAATGAGTGCAACGCAACAGACACTCCGATTATGCGTTTCCTGATCATTGGAAAATACACTCATCCTTGTCTTTTCCTCCAAACAGTACACTGTTCAAGACTTCGGTACATATTCTGTACTCCAAAACCAGATTTGCGTACATAGGTGTATTTTTTCATCTTTGGACTCTCACACTTTGGGTGACAAAGGATTAAGAAATCGAATATGGTACAATCTTTTGTATCTTTGTTCTTACGATTGAATAGCTTAGACAAAATCTGTATTGAGACATGTATCAATATATCAGGATTTTTTAATGAACGGCTCGGCCTTATTTTATGTCTATCCTGTCCACGTTAAAAATTCATATTATAGAAGCTGCAACAAAATAAGGCATAGTTTGTTACTGCATGTAAAAAAAAATTGCAAGAATGTCGTTTCTAAATCTGCTAAGTGGTAGTGGCAATAAACGATTGATGCTTTTAAAGATATAGCCAGACGGATTTAAGTTGCAAGAATAATGGTTCAAAGCAGAACGCAATATTAATTTTCATATTTGCATCACAAAATCTTAATTTAGTGCAAATCTGTGAAATATCAACTAAATAGCAAATATTTTCTTATTACAGTTCCCCACCGTTTACTGCCACTGATAAGCGAAAGATGTATCATTATCGCGAACATTTTTGAATAATTATTTCTGGATTAAGAAAATCTGTCACTCATTTTGTTCGCTTCATCTAAGAGTCAATGGATTGCTAAACGCATACCCTCAGCAGCTGCTCCTGCAATTTTGATGAAATTGTGTATGTCCAAGATGTTGTCTTATATTATTGCAAGACATACAACATAGTGCTTTTGAGGCGTCGGAGTACTATTTTGGGTATTCGGTTCCATAAATAATTTTCGCGTTTTCGAAATAGTTTGGCATTTTGGAGCGGGGAGCAAAAGTGACGTGTCTAGTCTGTCCAAAACAATAGACAACATCATGCTCGATTGTTGCTTTGAACAGATTGAGCGCCTTTTAGACGCGGGAATGTTTACCAGGCGGTCTTGGACTTGCTCGGGGCCATTTTAAAAATGTAATGATGGCTTTAAGCGACGTCGGCGTGATACAAGACTGTTCAATCAGTTGTTGCAACACAATGGAGACAGATAAAATATATTGTCAATACCATTTGGAATTTTTACTTTGAAAAGGCCACCAAGGTGGCCGAAACGGCAGTGGAGAATCATTCCTACATATATTTCATTTAGGGCCGTATCGGCGGTCTAGATTTCTACTGTTCCATGCTAGCGTCAGCGATCTCCTATTGAGATGTTATGGTTTCTTTTTGCATCCTAAGAAATTTCAGGCAACTAAAACAGATGATAAAAATCAAGTTTTAGCAGCCTGAAGTTTCTTAGAATTCGAAAACAAAACAACCTCAAAATAGCGCTAACAAAAAACTAGAAATAAATTAATCTAAGAGGCCATAAAGTATTCCTAAAATAATAATTGTAGCAATGACTGACGCCCTTCAGTGACCAGAAAAATATGGAGTTTTAATGATTTATGTGCTTTTAAGCAACTGTACAACTAATTGACTCGAACTGGGTAGACTCGGTAGATATATCTTCCTACAGAAAATTCAGTAGTAAAGAGGTCGAGGTACTGTTTTCCATAATCTGATGTTTTTTCAGATAAAAATAAAATACGTCATTATTATTATCTGAATAACCGTCCAGCAAACCTCAGAAGTCTTAGTCAAAATACAAGTTTATAAGTATACAGGGCGTTTCATTGGTAGAGGGACATTCAAACTGTGGATTATAAAAAAATCTAGTTGATGGGTCTTTATCCTCTTATAACCAAGACACAACTTATGTTATCAAATCGGCTATGAGACGAACAAAAAATAAATACAGGTCCAGACTAGTCAAAATTTGATAAAACCGTTTTTCCCGAAACCAACCAACCTGTATGTAGAAATTTTCAAACTTTCTTAACACATTTGGAAAGATCACATAATTTTGAATATATGGTCCTCTTTTGTTATTTGGCCAGACGATTTTGTAAGAGCTTCAGATACTGATTTTATTCGTTTTGGAGTACAAGGGTGGGGACTTGCTATTTAAGACTATATGCACCGCATTGGTGGATTTAAAAGGTCACCCTTTCGACCACCTAGACCAATAGAAACATACTCCCAGGTCCCTATTAAGAATAACAACTAAAGGATGGCGGTTGTTTATTCACATACTGAGGAAATTTTCATTGTGGAAACCTCTAAAATTCACATATGTCATCTTCAAAAATAAGAACCGACTGCGCATCGAGCTCGCGCATCCTGTCACATGACGTCTGTTTAACCTCAGACACTCTGGGCTAGACTCTCACTACGCTACCATTGCCAGTATTCGTTGTGTTGTTATACTGCATTGTTTGCCGATTTTTAAAGGCAAAAAAAGTTCCTCCTGTAAATTTTTATCATAAGCTGTAGGATCGCTATTCTATCGTCGGCGGAGCTTGTTCTCTAGCGTCGTCGTTCTGCATCATGACAACGCTTGGTCTCACATTGCGGCCACAGAAACAACTGAACAAGTTTCATTGCGAATTAATGGATCATCCACCATACATCTCTGACTTAGTACCATCACATAGTGTTTTTTTTTCGAGGTATAGAACTTTAAGTTGGCATTACTTTTGAAGATGGCTACCTATTTGACAGCTGTCAAGTGATTTATTCTCAGTTTGGTTTGGCAATTCATCATGAATAGACTCACGCCTGAACAACGCTTGCAAATTGTGCAGTTTTATTTAAAAAATAATGGTTCTGTGCGGAATACGTATCGCGCAGTACGTCCATTTTATCGTCGACAAAATCGTCCATCAGAGCAGTTAATTCGATTAACCATGGAACGTTTTCGCACCACGTTTACTCTAATTGATAACTCGCATCTCCAGAAACGCCGTACGGCGCGTATAGAAGAAGCTATTGCTACTGTAGAGCGTAGCATTGAGGAAGACCCGAATGAGTCCATCCGCCATCGAGCACAGGAATTGGATCTGTGTCCACTTTATGGAAGATTTTGCGGAAGGGTCTTGGTTTGCGTGCTTACAAAATCCAACTCGTGCAAGAATTGAAGCCAAAGGATCATCAAGCAAGGTGTAGATTTGTTGAATGGGCCCAAAACAAGATTGCCGTTGTTCCCGATTTTCATAAGCGAATTTTGTTTAGCGATGAAGCGCACTTCTGGTTGAATGGCTACGTCAACAAAGAAAACTGCCGCATTTGGAGTGAAGCTAATCCTCAAGTCTATGTCGAAACACCGTTACATCCAGAAAAACTGACTGTTTGGTGCGCTTTATGGGCTGGTGGAATCATTGGTCCGTACTTCTTCAAAAACGATGATGGCCAGAACGTTACAGTCAATGGTGATCGGTATACAGCCATGATTACTAACTTGTTCATTCCTGAATTGAACAATCATGATGTCCAGGAGCTGTGGTTCCATCAAGACGGCGCTACATGTCACACAGCTCGTGCTACAATCGATTTATTGAAAGACACGTTTGGTGACCGCCTATTTTCACGTTTTGGACCTGTGAATTGGCCTCCAAGATCTTGTGATTTAACACCGCTAGACTATTTTCTGTGGGGCTATGTAAAGTCAGTGGTCTATGCGGATAAGTCACAAACTTGACCATTTGGAGGACAACATTCGCCATGTTATTGCCGATATACGGCCACAAATGTTGGAAAAAGTCATCGAAAATTGGACGTCTAGATTGGACTACATCCGAGCCAGCCGTGGCAGTCATATTCCAGAAATCATATTTAAAATGTAATGCCACAAGGTTTTATTGCAATTTAAAGTTCTATACCTCTAGAAAAACACCAGTTACTTTAATCTTTTTTCAAAAATTGAGAAAGGAACAGATACTAAGTAGTTTAACGGTCAAGCGGCGGCGTTTTTTGACGATGGGATCTAAAAGCTAGAGCCACGAATTGGCAAATGTGTTTACTGTAACTACGTTAAAAATCCAAAATGTTCATTTTTTTGGTTTGTGATACAATTTACATCCATCCTTTAGGGGCAGCGGAAAGGACCAGCAGTGTAAATAGCAACATTGACTCGGCCCACACGGTCAGAGATTTAATGAAGCAAGAGACGCCTGTCTGTCTATCTGGATAGACTAAGAATGCATACCAAGTTTTATATCGATTTTGGTCACTTTTTTGTGGCTTCACAACTTTACAAACACCCTGTATATTTTCTTCAAACTGATACTAACAAAGTTTACAAACTCGTTCTATCCAGAAAAAACCAACCGTCCATTCCCTGTCGTCATTAAATCACGTACCGTTTGAATGGGTATCACCATACTGATATTACCCAGTGCCGGATGCTCCGCTGTTCGATTTTCAGCCGCCGGCCTGCATGACGTCACGCTGAGAGTGATTATCATTTGGGTTGATATGGATGACGTGCATATTTTCACCTACAGGCCAAACGGCTGGACGGTTTTCCACATATGAAGTGCCGTTGGATTCGTCTTAGCGATGCGAGTGACACTAGATACATAAAAATTTTATACAAAACAAGATGGCGGAGTTTAATAAAAGATTTCATCCTTGTAATTCATATTTCATAGGCTACAGCTCAAACGGCTTGATAGATTTTCACATATATGAGGTGTCGTTGGATTCGTCTTAACGGTGCGAGTGACACAATCTACATCAAAAGGTTCTACAAAACAAAATGGCGGATTTAAATAAAGGATTTTAACCTTGTAATTCCTATCTCCCAGGCTATAGCTTAAACGGCTTTCTAGCTCCACAATAGAACGTGTTTTGTCACCTTACTGTAAAAACAAGATGTTTCTACATTAAGTATGTTTTAGTATGTTCTGTGAAGCAGGATTAACATGCTCATGACGTTAATGCTGCACTATATTTATTCATCCTTATTTCAAAGAACATCTTAAGTACTAACTACATGCAAGTGTGAAAATGTTCGCAACTCGAAAAGTAGAAAAATGGATTTATCATATTTTTGCAGTAAGCTGGGGGTACAATAAATGGAAATGACTTAGTCTAAGACACAATTTTTCTCCATTTCCTTTTACTATTTTTCTGGTCTTTCAAACTTTTATCCAGTTCTTTGATCCGGAAGAGCATCCTTGACCTGAAAAATAGTTTCTTAGCTTTTTCAGGGCAGTCAATGTTGCTGCTCTTCAACAGAAGTTCGCCTATAAAATTTTGCTTTTCTGTCACTATTCCGTTCCCATTTAATGTAGTAAACACCTTATTAAGCTTCTCAATTTGATTCATGAAAGCTGTGGAAGGTTTTGATGATCGACTCTCACTAAGATGGTCTATCCAGGAATAAGTTTCATTTGATAAACTTTTCAACCTCTCATCCTGCAATTTATGGCAAACAAAGCCGGCCAATTTTTTCAGCCCATCATACTGGAGCTCATCTATTTCTTCCACTAAAACTAACGAGGACGTCAGCTGATACTTCAGGTGCATCAAGTTTATTCGTTAGTGATGCGGTTAGTGGAATGTCCGGAGTATCCTCTTCCTCTACGCTGCAACACTCTGAGTATACGTCTTCGTTTCGCACCAAAATATATGACCTTATTCTGTACTTAAACTCTAGGGGATAAGTTGAGCCCTTTGCCTTTTTTCGTAAGCACTTTTCCGCTTTTCCCCATCAACAGATGTAGATGGTCCAGGTGATCCTTTAGAGCACGATATCTTTTAGGGGTGTAACCCAAAAGGGTATATTTCAAATTCACCTTATAGGCACTTTCACAAAGGTGCTTCGAGCAAACCCTAGCGCTTTTTATATTGACTTTTTGTATGATGTATTTGTATGTGTATCGTGGATGTTACCATTCACAGTGCTTGCGATGTTACGGCGGTCTATTATAATCTAATCATATTAGCAAATTTCCCCGAAATAATTGTAAAGTCTGGTTCTATTGGTGCAAGATGTTCAATGGGGTATTTAAAACATGGACGCATAAAATGGGTACACCAATTTATGTGGGAAAACTTTTGACAACAAAACGTATTTTTGGGATTCAATCGAAAGTGTTGACAGGAACGAAAAGACTTTTCATATATATTATATTTAAGTATTTATGAGACCTACAAAATAAGACTACTCGTAAAAAGATCTAACTAATAGCAAAATGTTATGGCCGAAAAACGAAGCACAATGCAGGTTTTGGCACTTGTTGGTAATGCGACGATAATTTCACGCAACTACTTGAAATTCTTCAAATTCGTAGGATTCATACTTCTTAATAACAACAACAAAATTGGAGTACGTTGCTCGAGTAGTTTTTTGAGCATTTCTAATTGTTTATCCCAAAACACCTGTTTTCCGACCATCACTACTAGTTCATTGAGCAATATACAGGGTTCGTTCAAAGAGCATATAATAGCAAAATACACGTGCTTACCTTGCCCATATGAATCACAACCCATTAGATATATGTTATTTTTATGCGAAAAACAAAGGTTGCGTTTTTTTCTTCTAAACTAATCCACACATTTCACATTTGTGAGTAATTGAACAAAAGCGCTACGATATTCGAAAAAAATACGTTACTATACATATTTCAAAACAAAGCTGATGTGTCTATCATCTTTTGTTGCGAATTACTCACAAATACGAAATGCTTGAATTTCTTTAGAGGAAACAACGTAACCCATCCTTTTTTGCAAGAAAATAACATTCATCTTCTGGAAAGGTTTGCGATTCATATCGGCAAGGTAAACACGTCTATTTTGATATTAAATGCCCTTTGAACTATCAATGTATGTTGCTCAATAAACTAGTAGTGATGGCCGGAAAACACGTGTTTTAGGATAAACAATCAGAAAATCTCAAAATCTACTTTACCAATCTACTCCAATTTTGTTATGGTTATTCAGAAGTACGAATTCTACGAATTTAAAGAATTTCAATTATATGTGAGAAGCTATCGTTGCATTACCAATAAGTGCCAAAACCTGCAGTTTGCCTCGGTTTTCGGCAACTTTTTTGCTATTAGTCGAATCTTTTCACGTGTGGTCTCATTTTGTAGGTTTCATAAATACATCTTACATGAAGAGTGTTTTCGTTCCTGCCAAAACTTTCGATGTAATCCCCAAAAACACGCTTTCTCATTCTTTGTTTGCGAATAAAAGGTTTTCCCACAAAAACCAAACCATTTTATGCGTCCATGTTTTGAATACCCCCTTGAACAACTTGCAGCGATAAAACCAGACTTTACAATTATTTCGCAAACAAGGGGTATTTTCGTCTAATATGATTAGACTATTAAGCTTACGAGCATGTATGCAAATTTGAGAAACTTCCTAAATATAAGTTTCCTCAAAAAGTCGATGCGCAACCTTCAACTTTTACGAACCTGCAAGTATAATTTTAATGATATAGATGAAGTAACTGATCGATAAGATGAACTTCTAAGTCTAACACTAATGTGGCACAAATAGTCTTAAATATTATAAAGTAAATAGACCAGCCTTATATTCCATTCCAAAATGAACAAAATCAGTATCTCCAGCTCAAACAAAATCGCCTTCTCAAATAACGAGAGAATAACGTTAGAATAACGGCTTTGTTAACTTTTAACTAGTCCGAACCTGTATTTAGATGTCTTGTTCGTATCTTAAAAGCCGCGTCCAGATTTGTACCACATCGCGTAACCGTACCACGTCGCGAACCACCTTGCGATCAGAAATCTCGCAATCACGTACGCTGCATCGAACAACACTTCGAACCTCGCTCTGCAACCATTTAGGCGATCCGTGGTGAACGAATATATTTGAATTTCTGCTCGGTAGTAGTAGTCGATTCAATTTTCAAAATGGATGTCGCCGCAGCAGCGTTCATATATATTCATTACGCTTTATCAGCTAAAAAGCGAAAACAAAAACAAAGACGGTGGTGGCAAACAGAAATATTTAGAAACAGAATGAAATATGGCGCAAATAATTTACTTGCGGATTTAAAGATGCAAAAAATTAGTGGCCAATACAAAAATTTCACTCGAATGTCACCAACAGATTTTGAATATATTTTGAATGCAGTTGGGCCTAAAATACAAAAGCAAGACACCAAGTTCCGGCAACAGGAGATTCCTATTCAAGCTTACAATATTTGTTCAGAATTTCCAAGCAGTCCATTAGCGAAATCGTTCCAGAAGTTTGCCAAGCCTTAGTTGAAGAATTGAAAGGAAGTATTCAGGTAAATAAAGCAACACATTAAGTGGGTTCATATTTTCTATATTTCAAGTTATGAACAAATTAGTCACACATCGCCGCTTTTACAAGCTCTTCATATGTAGTTTCTTCTGACGAAGGATTTGTAGGGGAACATTCAGGGGGAGAACAGAGTGATGAAGATGAATTATTATGATATTCTTGTGGAGATGTCGGATGTTGAGATTGTTGGTAATGAAAATGTTGGTTTTGAGAATATGAGGGATCTTGGGATGATATTGTGAGAGCAGAAGAATAACTCTGTGGTTGTACAGGGTGTTATATTATATTTGGTGTAGGATAAGGATGGTATTTATATTGAGAAGTTGATGGGTGAAGATTGACTGGCCTGGGATGGAGATGTTGTGGCTGCTCATAGAATCCAGAATCTGCATTAAAGATGATACCCATTACGGCTTGCTGCACAGCAATTTTCGTAACTGTCGAATATGAGTCCAATTTTTTAGCTATCAATTTTCCAAATAGATCAGATTCGCTGTCTTCTTTCTGATTATGAGCAGCAGATGTTTTCAGAATTGGGAATGCTGCTTCTAGTTTGTCTTGCGAACCACCATTTTTCCTACTTTTTTTGGGAATTGGGTCAAGGGATGGACCTAGAGCGACACCAGTTGTAGTAGGACGAAGCAATGGCGTCTGCTCCTGCCCATCGTGAGTCGAACCGGAAGCTGAATGCTCGGATTGTGTGTCTTCATCCAAAATCTATAAATAAAAAGTTTGTGCTTTTTATGTAATTTTTTAATAAATATATTTTCGACGAGCAGTTTATTTGCGTTTTATTTACAGATACCCAAATCACAAGAGGGATGGCTAACCGTGGCTGACGAGTTTGAATCAATATGGAACTTTCCACATTGCCTCCGGGGCCTTAGGCGGAAAACACATTGTTCTACAAGCACCCATAAATAGCGGAAGCGAATATTTTAATTATAAGAGTACCTTCAGCATTGTCTTTTTTGCTGTGGCGAACGCGAAATATAATTTTCTATACGTGAATGCTGGGTGCCAAGGCAGAATATCTGATGGCGGAGTTTTCAAAAACACCCAACTGTACAAGAAATTAGAGAAAAATGGTTTGAGTCTTCCACCAGCTGAACCTCTAAATGGAAGAGAAAAAAGTATACCTTTCTTTTTTCTTGGAGACGAAGCTTTCGCATTGGCTGAAAATCTTATGAAACCTTTCCCAGGTCTACATACTAAAGGGTCTGTGAAACGAGTTTATAACTATCGCCTCTGTAGAGCACGTCCAGTGGTGGAAAATGTCTTTGGCACTTCTTCGGCAGTTTTCCGAGTGTTACGAAAGCCACTACTATTGGAACCAGGAAAGGCCGAGTTAATTGTAATGACAATAGCTTATTTACACAATTTTTTGAAAAGAAGTTGTAATTCTTGTAATGTCTATACACCCCCCGGGACATTCGATACAGAAGTGGACGGTCGCCTTATTGAAGGAAGCTGTAGACGGATAATTCCGAATGATGAAACAATGACTTCACTACTTCCGTTGAGAAATGTACCTCGCAGGTCATGCAAACGTGCTCAAGAAATTCAAGAAGAATTGGCAGAATATTTTCATGGTCAGCTTGAATGACATGATGATTATTCGTAAAAAATTATTTATGTAAGAACATAACCTATACTTTTTCAGTTTAAAATCTCTAGGCCCTGTTACATATTCGCAATAATGCAAAACAAATAATGATTCGTTTAAACTTACCGTGCTTGATGTTTCTCTAGGGCAATTTTTGTCTAGAAGAAACTCCATCGCCTTGTATGCAAACCAGTTGCTTTCATAAATTTCATCTGAGCCTATTGATAAAAATAAAAAATATATGTAAGTTATATTGTAAGATAAACAAGAATATTAAAATATACCTTTCCCGGTTCCTCCACTTTTCTTCACTTTAGCCCTCTCCCGTCGGAATGAAGAAAGCAAATTGGTCACTTTTTTTTGATTTCCTCCACCGGTTGGTTCAATTCGGCAGCTATTTTGACCCATGAATCATATTTTCTAAGTTTGTTATAGTATAATGAATGTTTTGGATTCCATAAGCATTCATTTTGCCTATATAAACTGATTAATTCTAGCACGCGGTCTTCGGTCCACTCCATTTCGCTAGCAGAGAGCCCAAATAATGATTGAAGAAATGAAATTGTTCGTCTGCCTGTCCAGACTTGTGTAACGTCGTCGCGCACCAATCCTTTGATGTTCCGTCCATTTACCGACTTGCCGTGGATCGCGACGTACCACGAGCTGCAACACATATTAGGTTCGTGTCGGCGTTCGTTCCGACGTCCAGACTGGTTCGCGGCGTGGTACGGTTGCGCGATGTGGTACAAATCTGGACGCGGCTTCAGTCGATTCAAGCATAAGCGTACCAAGTTTCAGAAAAATACAACTGACGGTTAAAAAATTGTGAAGCAATTAATAAATAACCAAAATTTATAAATATCGTTGTATCTCGGTTACATGAGGCTAAAGACCCATCAACCATTATTTATAATCACCATAATCACTATCCACAGTTAAAATATCTTCCTTTTCCAATGGTGCACCCTATAGATCAAAAAACAAACTTGTTTCCCAGCTCTATAGTCTAACATCCTGTATAATCCTGACTGTTTTCGAAATGTATTCTCACAGCGACGGTACAAGACAAACAGTTTGTGAAAAAGTTCGTGCTTAAGAGCAAGATTCCGTCAATGTAAGTTTTGACCAACCTGTTCAAGTGATATAATTGCAATGTTGGTCAACTGGCCAATAGGGGTGTCGGTATGAATGTAAATAAATACCAAACAACCTTTACAGATCAAACATTGTAGACATAATACGCTGTAATAAGCTATGGACGCCCGCAACTTGGAGGTCCAGTATCTAGGAAACTACCCATAGGCACATTTGTATACTGAGTGCTGTGGTCCTCAATTAATTAGATTTTTCTTTAAATAGCCAAATTTCATTTTCCATAAGGTTTCTGCGATGTTCTTTATGTTTTGAAAATAATAATTTTACTTGCCTTTTTAAAAAACCAGAAAGTTGAGTTGAGTTGAGTTTTCAAAAGCCGTTTGGAAGCCTGAATGATATAACATATGCAGCACAGAAGTATAAACTGTTTCCGTCCAATGTCATTGAGAAAATATTGAAAACAATATTTTTGAAAGCTTCATTTTGTGTCACATAAATTTCTTTTCCCGAATCCAGATCATAAATGCTGTTTCTATAAAATAGTATATCATCGTAACTCGAGCGTAGATTTCTCGACTGGAACATTCGGATTCTCTCAAAGAACATCGAATCATCTCTAATATCACTTTTTAGAAAGTCCAACAATTTTCGCTCCTTTTGGGATATCTATTCCGGGATTACAAGGATTCCTCGAGACGGATGTTGAATTAGCTCAACTGATTAAAGAAATATTTCTCTGCTGCATACCACCTGAATCTCAGTATAGGGTATTGATTAAACCAATAGCTAACAAAGCTCAGTTATCATGCTCATTACGTTTGCTTTTATTTCTCTGTGAAATTGCATATCGTTAATATCTAGTACATGCTTCTCAATACTACAATTATGATTTGTCTTTTGTTTTCCTTCATTTCCACAAAAACATTACCAAACTATCAATTTAATCAGAGAAATCTAATTAGCATATCCTTGCAGATATTTGGAGAAAACCGCTATGTCAGCAATCACTTCTTACATTTCTTTGGAAATTTTCAACACGGCTATGCTTTTCTCAGATGTATTTCATCATACATTGATTTTAAAATCACGAAAAAACCTTGAAGCGTTTTAGATAAACCACATAATCTCAAATTCGTACTGTAATTTCCCTATTGGATCGTGATCACATTTACCTACTGCATTATTCCTACCTGCTTGCTAAATTACTATTTTCCATAATAAATAATAACATCTACTTAATCTGGAAGACTGTAGTTATCGTATTACCGATCTGAAGCAAAAAGGAGGTTTTTATGTGCTTTTAATGTCAATCTTATTATTATATGTGTGTACTGTACTTTCCAGTATTCGAAAGAAGTTTTTAGCGTGTAATCCGCCGAGGGATCCGTCATTTTGGAGGATATCTAAAAAAAGTTAGTCAAAAAACTTGTAATCGTACCCTCAATAAATGAAATGCTCTGTATATTTTAGCATATTCTGGAAGGCCTCCTCCAAACAGGAAGCTTGATATGAAAATAAAAAAAATATAGCATACTGTCAGATTTGAATCGCCATTTATGGATATTTTGTCAGAAAAAACATCCGTAGGAGACTCGGGCAAAAAGAACCATAAGGGCAAAAGGAATCAGTTAAAAAAAATAATTTCAAAATTCCCGCCACTATCTTCTATTTACTTCTAGCAGATACTGTAGTTCTCCAGTGTTTGTTTTGATATCCATCCCGGTAAGCTAATTTTTCATGTTTCTACCGCCAATTTAGAAAATGTAACCGTCTTGAATTCTTAATCATGGTTTAAATAGATGGAAATTATTTTAGTATTGTTATAATTTGAAGCATTGAATTTTGTGGCGATGAATCACGTTTTGTGTAGATTCTAACCTCACATTAATTGTGCCGTTGTTCAAGGGTTTGACATTTATAAATAATATTTTAATGTGTTGCATACCTTCTGGGCAAGAAGAACCAGGCAAAAAGAACCGGTTCTATTTGCCCGGCTTCTTTTGCCCGCTATTCCGTTAGATATATTTTTTTTTTCAAAATTGAATATTGTTTCAGAATAATGGTTTTCAAGTATAAACGAAAAACAGAAAGAGCCCAAAGATGGGACGAAAATATCATGAATCGCGCAATAAATTCAATTAACCTATTCGCGGTGCCGCTCTGCAGTTTAGAATTCCATATCCCACTTTACGAAAAAAAATTTTAAAGCACTCCTCCAAAAAACAACTCGGGCGGTTTAGACCAGTTTTTTCTGGCGATATGGAACAGTAACTTGTACAACATATTCAAGAAATGGACGCCCTTTGTTATGGGTTCACAAAACAAGACTTATGCATTTTAGCATTCGAGTTCGCAAATCGAAATAATTTGCCACATCATTCTCGTAATGGAACAGCTGGCGAGCAATGGTACTCAAATTTTATGAGACGACAACCCGAATTAAGGCTTAGAACTCCAGAACCTACAAGCATTGCCCGGGCTTGTGGATTTAACAGGCCACAAGTGCAATTATTTTTTGATAATTTAAATAACCCTCGTAAAAAATCTTTATTTGATGTGGACAATATATACAACGTGGACGAGACCGGCATTCAAACGTCTGCAAAGAGGCCACCAGAAGTTATTTCTTTTAAGGGAAAAAAACAAGTCTCAATTTCATCGACCGAGAGGGGGCAGCTGGTAACCGCCGTATGTTGCTCTTCTGCTTCTGGAAAATTTATCCTTCCAGCCCTCATATTTCCTCGGAAGAAGAGAAATTCAAGATTTTTGAATGGCACACCACCTGGAACTGTAGATTTTGTAAGCGACAATGGTTGGATAAATAATGAGATCTTCTTAGAATGGATGAAATTCTTTATAAAATCTGTTAGACCATCTTCAGCACATAAATGTTTACTCATATTAGACAATCATATTTCACACCGATCTTTGGATGTGTTGGAATATGCTTCTGAAAAGAACGTAGTAATCCTTTCTGTTCCTCCACATACCACGCATAAATTACAGCCGCTTGGTGTTGCGGTATATGGACCCATCGGGAAATATTTTGAAAGAGAGGTTGATAAATGGTAAAAGCAACATCCTGTACATACAACATATTACTTTATACGAATTAGGTGCATTATTTTGATCTGCTTATTTACAAGACGCTGTTCCTCAAAATGCAATAAATGGATTCAAAAAAACAGGAATATATTAGATGGCAATATTTATGTTTTTAGTGACCTGGATTTTGCTCGTTCTCAAGTAACAAACAAGGAATATGATGCCAACGAAACTCAAAACCTTGCCGCTAGTAATGGTCAATCTGCATCTCAAAGTTCACCTATTGCGTCGTGTTCGAGCCATGAAGAAACACAGCGTAACGTCGAACATCACACACCTCCACTCGCATATAGGCCTCTGTTCTCTTGAAAATGAGAATCATGTGAATGAGAGTCGTTTTTCTCCTGCTCCATCATGCTCCTACCAACCGCTTACGAAAATTCAAATTACTTTACACCATTAACTGCAATTAAGCCTTACCCAAAAGTTAAACAGAATGATCCCAAAAGAAAATGCAGAACACAGAAGTCAGAAATTTTAACATCTACACCCATTAAAGAAGAATTAAGGTATCAGAAAAATAAAAAATTACCCAAGACCAAATTGCCAGATGAAATGAAACGTGCAAAGAAACATAGAAGTTCAAAGTTGGAGCAAACTGAATTGCAGTACCCAAAGCCACCGGTACATAGAACGGATCCCAATGAAGAAAATGTACCATGCCTCGTCTGCGGAGATATTTTTGGCAACTCTAAGTCTGGCGAAACATGGATTGAATGCAATATGTGTCAAAACTGGGCTCATCAATTATGTGCTGATTACAACAGTGGTATCTATATTTGCGGCAAATACAAGTTATCAGTTTTGAGTTCCTTGAAATAAATAACTGTTAATAGACTTCCACTTTTAGTTATGTTTGAAATAAAGTTATTCTTGCCAATATGTATTTCATACGCTGATCACTTTTGCCCGAGGCGTTGGTTCTTATTGCAATCATATGTGGGCAAAAGGAATCAAAAGCAAGTTTTCGTTTGATGTTTTTTTATGATAATATATTACTATAATTATAGGTTTGTATAATATATATTTTGTTTCTAAATGTAATAGAGTCCTATTTCCCATTAAAAAAATAACAATTAGGATTTAATAGAAGATTTTAAAAGCTGGCGACTTAAGAATATGTCTAGGGTAGAAAGTACATTCTAAAATAATAAAAAAGGTTGCTATAAATATGGGTCCAAAGATGTTCCCCTACTGAGATACAGGCTGATTAAGTTTTATTTACAAAATTGAAAAGACTATATCTACGGAGCTGGTAAAGTTACCGAGTTAGAATTCGCTCAGTGGGGTACCTGGACCTCTAGTAGGAAATATTTCCTACGCCACTGACCTTTTCGGAGAAAAGAAGTGCATTTTATAAAATACCATTCAATTTTTTATACATTTTTTCTTAAGGATTTTGTGTCAGATCACTCAGTTTTTAGATGTTTAGATATAAATGTTTGAGGTAAAATCCTAAAATATTCTTATGAAAAGGTTTAGGCTCCCCTATTATGAAAACATCGTGAATTGATATTCCAATATCAAGAAATTACAATTAAAAATAAATATATACTCGTACCTAGCACGTGGTCGGATGAAATGGAGAATTGATTTTCAGTGGCTGGTAGGTAATTTCAATAAAAGCTTATACTCGTCCACCAAAAATTATCATTTTCTATTCACTTTGAATTGTAACTAGTGGAAAACCATGAATAATAAAAAAAATTAACTTGATCCATAAATTTTATTTCAAAATAAAGCTATATACAAGGTGTTGTATTTGAATGTTTTGAGAAAAAGTACATTTTGCACCTTGTATTAGACGATGCATACAGTTTAAGAAAAGTGTGCTACACCGTCTGCAACAGTGACTGACTTACAAGCTGCCAAAGTTTAGTATGTTTCAGACCTAAAATACCCTGTAGCTCGAAAAGTAGAAATCCGAACTATACTATAAGTTATAAAGCCCTTTTGAAAACACCTATCAAAATATACAGGGTATTTCAGACAAAAAATGTATGTGTTGCCACGTAGTTATCAATCATCTTATAGAGAGTATCATATTTTCCAAATAAGGAGCGTGTAGCTCAGTGGAATTTTTGAAACTAGTTCTTTCAGGTATATTTTAAAATAAAGGAGATATCGATAAAGTACACACCAAAATGTACATATGGTATACCGTACGAATCATTAACGGTTGAGGTCGACTAGGTTGTAATGTGTACGTGAGAGAGAGCGGAAAAGAGAGAGAGCAGAGTACTAGGGAGGCGGACAAAACTGGCTTACCGGTAGCTCCTAAAGAAAAAACGGCTTTGGTACTGCAGGTTTCGGGCCCTATGGAACGTTTTCTTAGAAAGAACTAATTTGCGTTTGATCGTTGGTCTTAGCTTGACGAGTATGCTAAGGCATTACTTCGACATCATACGTTTTGTTTATACTTCAGGCCCCTTATAACATGCCAAAAATAAGAATAATATCTAATGAACTTTCGAAGATATGAAATGAAAACTGTTATTAACTTAAAACTTATATACTGTGTAGCTAAGGTTTAAGCCATTCCGTACATAATATGAATATATGTACATATGTACATATTAATATGTTCATATAATCTCCATAAAATTATCTGAGAAATCATATACTGCAATATTAGCATGTTTATGAGGAACACCCTGTTTATATACTAAGGTCTAATGTCTTGAAAACAGAAGGATTAACATGAGTTAGACTCTAGGTCACTTCGGCTCTTGCATCTCCTACTATTCAATCATTCAATCAAATGTTTAGGAATCTTATTTTATATAGTTGACAACCCTGCCTCTCTGAATTCTTTACTCGTTATGAAAGCACTAAATACTACAGCTACAATATTACAAGCTCTGGTCTATCACACACACGCACATACAAATACCTACAAATATAATCTTACACCATCAGACTTATTCGACTGGTATCTTTTAAATCTTGAAAATGAGCATTATGAGAAGAAAAAATTGCAGAATCCATTCTCACAATTCGAGGAAGGCCATCAGATCCATATTTTTTTCTTTAAGAATAGAACAATCAATGTGTCAAAAAACGTGCCTGAGAACATCAATTACCGAGCATATTGTTTCCAAAACTGTTATGATTGATGTTGCCTTGCAAAAAGTGAATATCATCATTAGACTGCAGATGCTTTAGGTAGATAGAGAGCAAGCTTTTTGGAGTCCTAGATCGAAATAGATGCATGTTACAATTAGCCCTCGGTTTTATAATCATATAAAGGGGAAAGGAAAATTTGTGGTAAAATATTCATTTGCCTCTAATACTTCAACCACTGTATATATTGAAGTGAATAACAAACATATTATAAAGAAAATGTGATTTTTAATACTGGAACACGTTGCGGTCTGATTGGCGACTGGACTCACACCACAGAGTGACTGAAATTTATGGTAATGAAACATCTTTTTGATTTATCCTGTACAACAAGTCAAAGCATGACTACAATCGAGAACTCATATTGCAATAAAAAAGCCAATGAGTGTACCTACATCCTGCCGAACTAATCAATGACATCGGATAATAGATAAAAAAAGGTATGACGTAACGAATTTGGCTAACATTTTGCTTGTTGCGTTTACTTTGAACCCGAGTGTATAACTCTTAAATCTCATATTAACTAGCTTCTTCCTTTACCTATCTATCTGGTCCGCATAACTCAGCCTATGTCAGAATTACTTGCTGAGATGGAAAATTCGAAAGGTTTAAGATTGTTGGTGTTTTGTACCTCCACTCCAACTTACCATGTTAAAAAATGGTCAATGAGCTTGGTACACTTTCCTATTACTCAGATCTCGTAAACTCGTAACAGTGAAAGATGGGGGAAGAACGGTGGATCATGAGACAACTTGCATATTTTTTCACCCAGCATGGTAATGACCAAGCAATAACAATAGTCAATAAGCGGAGCAACATTCCATCCATCAGCTGTTTTGGCAATTTCTAATAATGGCGCTAACGTGTGATTGTTATAGTAACTGCCGCGTTCCTACTATAATAATACAATAAAAAATTATTAAGTTTTCACATTCCGTAAGAGAAATTCAATATCTTGCTAAATACCTTGTTATAATGCATATCATTGGGCTTTGTTGCAAAAATCAATAATTCGTTCCTGGTATTATTAGTAATAGTGATATTACTATACTTATTCAAAAAAGTGCAACTGAAAATTTTCATTATAGGTATCATTTCATATAATTTTAAAGATTGCTTATATTCCACCTATCCCAAAAAATGACCGAAGATCAACCCTAACAACAACAGTACTACAACTTCTGCGAATTTCATCAGTAGGAAGTTTCTCGAGCACCACCACTTGATTAGCGACAGGCAGCATAATCTCCAATACAAGTAGTAAGCTGGGAACATCCTAGTTCACGAGACATAATTGTTAACTAAGTTCAATCAAACTGTTGGTAAGGCTTACGTCATTGATCATTTCGTTGTATTTGTATTCTGGTATGCCAAAGAGGATGTTCCTCGAAAAATCCGAAGTAAAGCTTTGCGAATGACAAGATTTTGCAAGCACGGATTGATAATGTCAGACCGATCACCGTGGTTAAACTGGATAAAGCGACTTCGTTTTCTACGAAAGACCACATTATTATTAGTGCCGTGATCCAATTTTGGTGCAGTTCAATGCGCCTAAGATACTAACTAACTTCCAATGAATCCAGTCCAATCAGTAATTATACGAGTTCAGCTCACCAACAAGCTATTTACTAACAAATTCAAAAATCGCCCTCCTTTAAGTAAACCTCGTGTTGATACTTTTTAAAGTAACTCCTGAAACTTATCCTGTGTGTTTATATTTTGATTCGGCAAATGAAGCCCTTTGTATGATACCTTTTATAGCAGAATTGCATAAAAATGGACCATCGGCTTGGGGGTTCTTGCGACGGCAGTAAAAATCATACAGAAAAATAAATATTTGATGATTTTCAATCTGAAAATTAAACCTTATTCAGGCATATTCGGCTTCTTTGGGTTCACAACCCCCCTGTTAAACTTTTAAACGGCTGTACCGATTAAGAACTATCTCCATTTGTTTGGAAGCTACAATGCTACAGATAAAGAGACACATATACAGGGTGTTTCAGTTTATTGTTGCATAACTTCAAGATTCGATAGAACTTTTAAAATTAATGCATAAAGTCTATATAAACATGGGTCGAAAAATTCGTGGCTTCCGAAATACAGGTTGTTTAAATTTACTTTCTAAAATAGTTTTTTTTTTAAATATTTCGAACAATATTTGATGTATAACAGTGAAAATTGGTATACGATGGTTTTTTGGTACGACAAAACGAACCATGGGCATAGTTTTACCGTAGCCGCTAGAGGGTGCTCTCTGCTGTACCTGTAGTGTATTAAAATGACCGAAAAAATTTTCTTAGTGCAACTTTTTGCTTTTTGAATAAAAAAAACTGATTTTTCGCACTTTTCTGCATAAAAAAGCTCTCCTGTGAGTTTTCGTTATAGTTAGCCGTTTTTGAGATATTTCGATTTTTAAGGTTCGATGCATTTTTAATTATTTATGGGAAAATAATATTTTTTTTATATTTTCGATTTGGGCATTACAAGTAATTAAGATGATCGTTTAGATTGTGCTTTTAAACACAGCAATAATTCCTAACTCCAATTAAACACAAAAAAACAGAATATTAATTTGTTTAATTTTCCAATATTATTTTTAACAAATTAAATTAATTATTTACAACTAAAATGCTATTGGATAGTTAGGACAAACATACAAAATCTAAAGTAGTTGCTCGAAATGTAAACCCAATTGTTCAATACACAATTCACATCTACGAATGATCGAACGTGGTATAGCATTATTCAAATAAGGAATTATTTCATCACATACATTCCTGATTCTGTCTATTAGCATATCTCTTGTGGTTACGGGAGTCTGGTACACTTTTTCTTTTAGAAATCTAATGGATTTAGGTCAGGGGATCGTGGAGGCCAGGCGACTGGTCCTCCACGACCGATCCATCTTTCTGGATAATTGTCGTCCAGCCAGTTTCTAACTATTCTCGAATAATGAGCTGGACAACCATCAAGCTGGAACCAGGCCAATCTTCTTAAAACTAACATAACATCATCCCACATATTTGCATGTTCAGCCTTTAAAAATTCCTAGAAGGTCGCAGCATTTAACTTTGCAGGCAAAAGGTAGGGTCCAAATAGTCGATTACGGTAGATACCAATCCACACGTTCACACTAAATTCATGCTGAAAATTTCTTTCCCGAACTGCATGCTGATTTTCATACGACCAAATATGTTGATTATGAAAATTTACCACCCCACGTCTAGTGAAGCATGACTCATCGGTCCATAAAACTTTATTTAAAAACTCCCTATTATTATCAGTTCTATCAAGAATCCACTGACAAAATGTGATTCTTCGTTCTCCGTCCCCTGGCTGTAGTCCTTGCACAGGTGGCAAATGGTAAGGACGTCTATGGTCATTTCTAAGAACACGGTGAACATGGCTTGCTGAAATTCCCAAGGCACCAGAAACTCTCCTAATACTTATGGTCGGATCTCTATCAAACTCACGCAGAATCATACGGGTAAATCTGCGCTGACGAACATCTATGTTTTGATCCCTTTGGAGATTTCCAAAACCATTTTCAATTATTTGGCGATGCACTCTTACAAATACTGAGCGAATTGGATGTCGTCTGTTTGGAAATCTTCGTGCGTATTCTCTGGCTGCTTCTGCTGCGTTTCCATTTACAAAGCCATACACAAAATGAATATCCGCTAACTCTTGATTGGAGAATAAAAATGGCATTTTTATAAAACTTACAAAAAAAAAACAGGTAAAAGAAACTAAATTTCGTGCATTCACAATTGCAAAAAAAAGTTTCAGGTTTCAACAGACAACAAAACTAACTGTCAACTAATTGACGTTTAACCTTATTCTGCTTTCAATTTTTTCTAAAAATTATCGAGATACTGCCTTTTTAACGTTATTTTATGATAAATAATTAAAAATGCATCGAACCTTAAAAATCGAAATATCTCAAAAACGGCTAACTATAACGAAAACTCACAAGATAGCTTTTTTATGTTGAAAAGTGCGAAGAATAATTTTTTTTATTCAAAAAGCAAAAAATTGCACTAAGAAAAATTTTTCGGTCATTTCAATACACTACAGGTACAGTAGAGAGCGCCCTCTAGCGGCTACAGTAAAACTATGCCCATGGTTCGTTTTGTCGTACCAAAAAACCATCGTATACCAATTTTCACTGTTATACATCAAATATTGTTCGAAATATTTAAAAAAAAACTATTTAAGAAAGTAAATTTAAACACCCTGTATTTCGGAAGCCACGAATTTTTCGACCCATGTTTATATAGACTTTATGCATTAATTTTAAAAGTTCTATCGAATCTTAAAGTTATGCCACAATAAACTGAAACACCCTGTAGACATACAGATACACATGTTGAATTTCCTCTTTTTGCGTCGGTTTTTAGAAACATGATTTAGCCCGACCTCGTCTCGTCACAATATCACAACATCTGCTGGGAAGATGCTCGGATATCTGCTTGGGACTAGAAAAGTACTTTCCTCCATCAAACTTTAAGACTCTGTACAAGTCCAGGGAATTGCACCTTCCTCCAGGATACCGCCATATTTTAGGTCTTCTAAGCGTCCCATAACGCTTTAGCTTCTCATTCTAACTTCATCGAGGGCTCACCGATCTTTTACTCCTAGACTGTCAACTATATGGAGCAATCTGACAAGATGCTTTTCAAAATCTGCAAATCTTTAGAAATGGATATCAAGATGTATTTAGCTTCTGTCTCTTTCAGCCTCGGTAGCTGGATATTGCTAGGACTTGTTTGCAAGTGACCTCTACATCTTGTAAACTGCTAATCTGTGGTTGATTTGTGCAACAGACCCTTGCTTTGTCTTTCACTTCCTAATTAACGATCAAAAAATATCGCAACCTATTAACCGCAGCCGCAGGACAACAAACTAGGAAATTATATAAATACGTCTCTTAATCACCACCCATACTTAGTCGCGGTGTACATGAACGTTGACCAGTTGGAACCTTGCTCCAAAAATCTCCTAAATCAGATCAATTACCACTATTACTCGAATTAATTGAATTCCAACCTACATTTCTTCCAAGTGTGGAGTGCCGGGACGTACCAAAAGTACGACCCCCGTCGGTACCGCGGACGCGAGGTTATAAAGTGAAGTACTTCAGTTGAGGGTACCGCCGAAGACTTTCGATTCCACTCTTACTATCGTACCGCGACGGTTTGCATTTCTTGCGGTGATTGTAGCGCGCCATTGCTGGTTTTTTATTGTTCCGATTTGGAGCAGGTACTACTTTGTTCGTGACTTTTCCGTTGGAGTTGTTAGTGATTTGTTTTTGGATTTCGACGTATCGAAGTGACAATCAATATGAAGATTATGAGGGTGAGTGAGATGATGGAGTATTTATTTTTCTGTTTTGTTTTACTTGCTTAACACTACATTGGAGTTTAATTTGTGTCTAGTAAGGTAAGTAAGTGAAGTTCTAATAGCAAATTTTTATTATCACTAAAAATACGAACAGGTATCAAACGACATTGGATTTCTCAATCAATAAAAAATATCTATATAAATTTTTGTGACACCTTAAAAATTGTACATATAGTAGTAAAAAAAAATCACAACATGAAGGGTTTAGTTAGTTCTCATATTCTTCAGCCGCCTTATTTAGCTTCTCCTGGAGTAAAAAATCTGACATCTCAAGCTTTTCCGAAAATAATGTTGGGTACATACACCCTAAAATAATAAAGAACCCTGAAATTTTACCTTAAATCTACCTGAGATTTTAAACTAAGATATTATGACGGACATATCGAAGTGATGAGAAAATAAAAATCAAAATTTATTTGAATGTGAAATCCACTCCCAAAAAAGAAAACAGCTCTATTCAAAAATAATCATGAACTAAAAAACTAACTAATAAGTTTGCATTTTTTTGTTTGTTGCTAAATGCCATCGATACATCAATTCCTAAGCCTGCGCAAGACAAGAGGTTGGTAGATGGAAGACAAACTCACAGCATGGACAAACAGAAAAAAAACGACTAACATGAATTTCCAAGATGCTCATTAGAAAAGTATGGATCTTTGTAGACATTCTTAATACCTATTATCACTTATAAACGAAGGGACTAGCTTTGAAGCATAAAACAGCATATAACAAAGTTTAGAGTATCCCCACCCTCCAAAAAACATTGCCTACACCTAGAGACTTCGAAAAACTTACAAACTGTACAAAAGCGACGTTTGGTAAACCTTTATATATCATATTTCCACCGCCATTGCTTTGATTTTAAAAATTGAAGTGGCGTTACCGACTATGACCCTACAGTGTATCACTTTCTAAGTTTCATTAAAATCGATGCAAGCCGTTTCTGAGACTACGCTGTAAAAAAACCAACAATGAACAAACCTATGGAAAGTGGCATGGATTTTCGATGTGTAGATGTTACAAAATATCAAAGAGAATCGCTATCTCATATTCGCAAACTTTCGCGATTACAGGACCTTCCTCCGTTAAGCGAGCAACATGAAACCCAATATTTTAATCATCAAATGTAGGTACAGTGACGAGTGAAAATAATGGATATCCAAAATATTTTGATTTTCGTTCAGTGACAATTTATGTTCTTTGATTATGTAATTTTGTGTTAAAATTTAATACGCATCTCCAACATGCATTTTTTAGATGTCGCAAAAAGTTTCGAAATACAACTGTCTGCATTATTCATGAACACTGATACAGTTGCATACATAGACAGGTAGTTGTAAAGTGTTTTGTAAAGCAAGTGAAAGTTTTCTAGAAAAAATAGCTTTTACTTTTTCATTTTGAATAGGAACTCAAAGACCTGCTGCGTCATAAACAAACAAGAGTTATTATTCTCATAGTTCATAAATGCACATTTTTCATGTTATATGTTAATCGGTACAGTTATATTATAATCAGGTATCATGATATGCATCAGTTCCTCATCATGATGTTAGCATTCCATACTTTGTACAACAATTTGTGCAACCATAAGGTTACTTTTATAATAAAAAAAGTGGACACCAGTGACACACAGTAATAGCCTGGGAGTATATGTATCATGTCTAGTCGTTGGTTTATAGTCCTTCTGAGGTACATCTTCAAACATCAAAGACTATAATCTTGAAAAATAGACTGTCCGAATGGGATTCAAATTGCATTGGGTGATGAATTAGTATCTACATAAATTATGACTTGTAACCTAGTTCCAAACATTACTTTCGGAAACCAGTAATTTCCACTGTAACAGCGAAAGAATTGAGAGAACACGTGCATACCTCTAAGAATGGTAAAAAAGTGTTTTTAATTCGTCCACAGCGACTCTTTGAAAAGTACAAATCTAACATATTAATTGTGATGCGCCCAAATAACAGTGTATACAAAAAAGAAATCAGATGGGAAAATAATCTGTGCACAGAAAAGAAAACAAAATTTTTATCCGTATCGCGTTTTAACAATACATAATTCGACATGGTGGTTTATAAATTCAGCTATTCAGAGACCCCACACAAAACAAAGCTCTCAACGGTGTGAACACGAAAAACTTGGATTACGACAATTTATTTCCGTTTAGTTGATTTTACATTTTACCTGTTGGATAAAAAAAGGTTGCGGTTTAATACATAACGAGTTTTTTCGAGCAATAAGACAAAGATAAATCAAGACAAATCAATCCGTCACTTATATGACAGTGCTAACAACTGAAAATTAGTCGAGATATTGTATATTTAAAATAAAAATACTATGTAAATTTAATTTGAACTTGACCCAATGAATTCAATAATGCTACTAAAAACTACTACTAGATTTCGAAAATTGTTTTTGGTTGACTCGCTGATCCGTTCCCCACTGTTAATTTGGTCAGTAAAGGCAATGAATGTAATAACGGATTTATGAAGTTGAATTTTTAGGTTTTTTATTAAAAAAAGGCCCATAGTCTGACTTATGACGAAAGCAATTAAAAAAAAATTATTTCGAAGGAGTATCAATACATTGCCCAAAAAGTATATTTTGAGTGTTTTTACTATTGCATATAAACGAGAAGTTGTAACGTGACGTAATACGTTTTTTCATGTCCTTTCCTTGTGTATATACTTCTGACATGGAATGTATAATTACCTTCTGAGGGTATACAAATTAACAAGCAAATGCTATTGGCCAATATCTTTAGCGGGAATTAATGGATATTTACATGAGTTCCTTTTAAATGAACGAGTTTCAATTACGGGTTTTTCAACACGTGCGAAAAGCGAAAATAAACTGCATCATCCATAAAAATGAAGTAATCCTTCTGCAGTTTTCTCTAGCGATGCTCTAAGTAATCAATAGCTAGTTAATTGAAGATCCAACCACCACGTAGCTCTTTCCTACTCAATTTTAGAGCACTTGCTGTATTCGAGCCTCAAGGTCTACCCAGCAATGACAAAGACTTACCTTAGTTAGTTTGAACCACCTACGTCCAACGTTGGTGCTTACTTCTTGATACCTAGCCAGAGACAGAGACACATATCTACTTCTTTATACACTCGAGAGCTCCCATATTACGATAAAATCCCATGTAACAGCACCAAGCTTAGCTTAGCACCTAGAAGAAAATTAGCTGCTGGTCTTTGCCAATGTATTTAGTGTATTAAGGCAGTCTCACGCTATCATTGAGGTATGGCTGAGCCTTTACAAGACCTGATAAACTGAAGGTTCAGAAAATGGAGAACTTACATTTGAATAGACATGTAAAATATCCCATAAGGTATATGAATCTGCCAATATGGAAGCTGAAATGCGGGTACATTCAGCCCAAGTAAGAAAGGAGTGCGAACCTGAGCATTGCATAAGCAACAGCAGTTTGTCTGTAGGTTCGATTATACGGAAAACGTGTTTCAGCTCAGCGCAATTCGTGCAGATTTGATAATATTATGGAGATATATCGAAAGAGAGAACGAGAACTAATAGTGCACGCCATGAGCCAAGCTAGCTTGATCACGCGCTGTGTGGTATTTTATCACAAGACTAAATGCTAGTGCACGCATTCTATGCACACGCATGTTCTGGAAATGGTACACTTATTATATTCTACTTCCTAATACAGCTGGAAAGTAAGTATATATGGATCATATTTGCATCACATAACTTAGTGCTGTAATGTGAGCCTTTCCGCGTTTCATTTGACGCCAACAAAAATCCACACACTATAAATCCAAGATCTTGTATACCAAAAAATGTGCACCATATGTACGGATAAAATAATAGGGTGCTACTTAATGATGGGCCATAATTATAAGGGCGCATTTCTGGACCATTAAGCAGCCAATGATATAACTTTTTTGTCTCTTGGTATCTCTTCGTACTTTACTTCGTTTTCATGCAAAAAATATAAACAACTTCATTAAATTCAATCAAATCAACTTTGAAAGGAATGCTGTTTTATTGTTATAAACACATTTTTGACTTTCCATGACGGTTTGCTATTACTTTTCATGTGCTACGAATATTTTTTTTCAATCTTTGACACCCTGTAAGTTGGACCAGACTTTTTACGACACATATTTTTGTGAACTTCCCTACTTTAAATACGGACTATCATTAAGTAGCACCCTTTATATAAAACTTCGGCCATTCAAATATGTAACAATTGCGGCTAGATGTCCATTTAAGATTTCTTAAGAAGTACTTATCTTTTACATTACCACTAGTGTAAATTTAAAAACACCGACATTTTTTATGTATCGCTCGTAATAGAGCACCACTTTGGGAGCTCTCAATCAAGCCAAGGCCCTGATCACAGGCTCTGTAACGCAAAGGAAGACAGACATCCATAAATGAGTCGATCTTTATTGTAATTGAAGTCTTTTGCCTTGACTTAAAGCTGAACGCGTAGTATCGTTTCTTAAGACATACCTATCGTGAGGACACCTCATTTTTCTTGTCACTTAGAATTGACAGGAGACCCGTCTAAAACCAAAGAAGCCGACCTTTTCCGATCTGGGCCACATTTTTGAAAATAAGAGAGTAGAATCACTGCCACAAAGTAGGCCTGATGCTCTCTTTCGGGGAGCTGTGTTCCTGAACTTTGATGAAATAGTCACTCCCCGAATACTTCACGGTAAAAAAAAGTGGAAATCTCACCGTCCATCGATCAGTCTCACATCTTAAGATGAAACCTTTTGTGAAATGAACGATCTGGGAATATATATCGTTTTGCTGAAAATGGATGCATTCACAAACTTGTTTGGTAAACAACTCTCAGAACTTAGGAGCATGCCCAGGCATCATTCTATCTTACTGCGCTCTTGAACTGAGGTCCTGAAGTTTAATTGTAGTTCTGTTTACCAATTATTGGTTTCCTAAAGGCAGCTCTCCTGTCACCCTCATGTGTCAAGAGGTCTACATGACGTCTTCACAACAAGGAGGATCTAAATGAAGGTACGACTATGCGTTGAGCGCTACTCGTGAAACAGTTTTAATTTTGTTGCAGAGACTTCAGTAAGTTTCCTTGTTATATGGATATGGTTTTAATTATCGGCCATAGAGAATGCGACAAATCAGGAAGATGACCACAAGATGCATTTTAGACATTGCATCAAAAAGCGCCACCCCCACTCTATTTTTTGAACGGATCAGATTGGTATGGATATTATATTGTAGGGTAAAAACATAACTACAAAAAATTCCGCAGAAAAGCAATAGGAAAACACTTTCGGTCGAACTACATGAAGAGATGCAAAATCGTTGGACTTTTGATATAGCTATTTTAAAAGAAAAAAAGGATAGTGTCTAATATTTGTATGTGATACAAACAAATATTTGGACTAGTTTGCACAAATACATTACATAAATGTGATACAGCCTATCAATTTGGTAGGTATGTGTCCAATTCCACCAAGTATTTTCCTATTGTTTTGTGCGGAATCCAACCGCTATCTTAATAATAATAATAATACATTTATTTCCAACAGGTATACACCCAATCACAGGAAATTAGTGATATCAAAACAAAATGGTACATGGTAAATGGTAATGGTATATATATATATATATATATATATATATATGTATAAACAATGAATCAGAAA